GGAGCCTGAGGTTCTACATTTCATACATGATCCCAGGGAGTGGCACTGTTGCCGCCAGACTGTGCAACCCACTACACATCCCAAGGTTCTTCCTTCTTTTGCCTTGTTGCAGCCTTATCACCTCAGGCCAGTGCCAGGGCCCAGCCCACGAACACTCTCCCTGCCTCTAATCCTAGACTGTGCAGTACAGTAGCCACCAGGCATAGTGCCTACTTAAATGCAAATTAATTAAAACTTAAAATTCCCTTTCTATTTACAGTAGCCACATTTCACATACGCAATGGCCACAATGCCACATTATACAGAAAAGATATCAAGCATTTTCTTCATTGCAAAACTTCCGTTGGGTGGCACTGCACAATAATCTCAGCTCCACCTAAACTAACCACAAACTGACTACCAGTCTCACCACACTGTCAGCTCCTTGAAGGCAAGTTCTGTATTTGTCTTGTCATCTTTCTCTAATTGCGGAACCTAACCCATATCCTTTTTTTCATTTGACAAATATTTATTGATCATCTCCTATGTAGCAGATGCGGTGCTTAGCACTGGGAGTAGGTGGCACCCCAAGGTGAACAAGACAAACGTGGTCTCTGTAATTGCAGAGGTCACAAAACAGGCGCTCCATAAGTCTTCACTGAAATGAAAAAATGAATGAATCATACACAGACCACCCCCAGGGAAATCTTCACACTGATTTTCATCATTCTCCCTAACTCAGAAATGTTTAATACTTGCTTTCAATATGCAGAAGAAAATCCAGATGCCACAGCCTGGGGTACGAGGCCCTTCTGAGAGGCAGAGATGCGGGGTTAGCATCTTCGTTTGTTAGGGCTGCCATAACAAAACACCACCGACTGGGTGGCTCAAACAGAAATTGATTTCCCACAGCCCTGGAAATTAGGAGTCCAAGATCAAGGTTGTCAACAAAGTTGATTTCTCCTGAGGCCTATCTGCTTCGCTTGGAGACAGCTGCCTTCTCCTAGTGTCCTCAAGGTCATTCCTCTTCTTATAAGGACACCAGTCAGATTGGATTAGGACTCACCCTAATGGTCTTAGTTTAATTAACTCTTTTTTTTATTTTTTTTTTAATTTGAGATGGACTCTCACTCTGTTGCCCAGGCTGGAGTGCAGTGGCACGATCTCGGCTCACTGCAACCTCCACCTCCCAGGTTCAAGAGATGCTCCTTCCTCAGACTCCTGAGTAGCTGGGACTACAGGTACGCACCACCACACCCGGCTAATTTTTGTATTTTTAGTAGAGATGGGATTTCCCCATGTTGGCCAGGCTGATCTCAAACTCCTGATCTCAGGTGATCCACCTGCCTTGGCCTCCCAAAGTATGAGATTACAGGCGTGAGCCACCTCACCAGTCCCCTTAGTTTCATTTAATCACCCCTTTAAAGGCCCTGTCTCCAAATACAGTCACATTCAGAAGCACTCGGAATCAGGCCTTCACCATCTGAATTCGGGAGAGACAAAGCTCATCTCATAACAATTAGAAATATGATCTTGGAAACTAGCAAAACTGGGTTCTGAGAGCAGCTCTGAAATTCCTGCCAGTGTGAGGGGACTTGACTTGTCTGAGCCTGTTTCCTCCCCTGAGAAAGGTGCTAAAGCTACCTCCCTCCCGAGGCTGTCAAGAAAATTACAAGCAATTACTTACATGAAGCACTGAGCAGGGCTCAGCACCTAGTAGGCACTGCGTTAATTACAGCCACTGGCATCACCACTTTACTGCTCTGATTCCCCAGCAGCAACCCTTCCCTTTCCTGTGGTCCCTGAGCACCCTGAGCCTTCCCTTCTCAAGCCCTGATTCCCAGCCCAGCTCCGTGACTCCTCTCCCTCTCATCACATTCAAACCTTAGTCTTCCTTTCCTAATTCCTTCAGGCTTTCCTTCTCTGGGTAGCCTTTCGGTCAGAAGTCAGTCCCAGCTTCTCTTCTCTGAGCTGTGTTAGCATTCCTGTCAATTCCACACCAGCTCCCAATTAACACCTAGGAATTAAAATCCCACGTTAATTTGTAGGCTAACTCCTCCCTACTCACAGATATGCCACCTTCCCCATTAGATGTGAGACATTTGAGATCAAAGCCACCATTATACCTTTTATTCTCTCTCATAGCACCTATCAAAGTGTCTCAAACGTAGTAGGCCTTTATCAACCAAGAGTTTGTGGACATAAAAATACTTACATACAGTTAATATTCACTAACTGAGGATGTGCAGGTGTAGGTGTAGGGGTGTGTGTGTGTGTGTGTGTGTGTGTGTCCATTTAGCATTTTAAAAGCTATGGGAAAGAGAAACACCAAACTCAGGTGGCTGGTCCTCTCCTGAGGGAAGAGGAGGTAATCCCATGTGGATCTGGCAGTGTTGGCCATGCCTGGTTTTGTTTTTAAAAACTGGGTGGCAGTATTATGTTAAATACGTTTATTTATTTAGTTCATTTATTTAGTTATTTAACTAATAAATAAACATATTTAACATAATACTGCCACCCAGTTTAAAAATATGCAAAATAATATGTCCTTACTTGATAAATATCTGTAAGTAAATAAGATACCTTATTTAACATAATACTGCCACCCAGTTTTTAAAATATGCAAAATAATACATCCTTACTTATAAAAAAATATGCAAAATATTATGTCCTTACTTGATTGATATCTGCTGTTTACAGATGAGCTTATTAACGTACACAAAGAAAGTATGAAGAATTCTTCTGACATGAGAGAAAATGCTTAAAATATTTGTTTTAGAAGCTATTTAGTTGGGATTTCAGAGTATAACTCAACAAACTCCTTTAATTAATATTTTATCTAACAGGAAATATTTATGAGACATTACCAGCCTCATAAATGCAAATAGCATTTCTATAAATAGGAGAAAAAATAATTTTCTGCAAGTCTCATATTCTAAAGAGAACATCTTTAATTGTGAACCCATCTCCCGCTCGATGAAAGAAGGTAAGAGAAGCAGATAAAGGGAACAGAAGAGGTGGGGCTGTACTCTAATTAACAGCGATAATACATACACATTTTCTGTTGCTTTCAAGCGCCGCCTCATCAATTTTCAGACAATGAAAGACACACTTAGCACCTTGCACAGCTCCCTGAGTAGTTCTTTTATTGCATTTCTATCCTCAAATGTTGTCCGTGCTCTTTGAGAGGCTTGGGCATGGAGAAGCTAAAGCTCCCCTAAGTTTGCAACAATCAGTCAGGACTAGAATCCCCAAATTTCTCATTTTTCAGTTCTCAGGTGAGACCTGGACACAAATTTTTCTGTCTCCAGATCCAAGGTCCCATCCCTGAGAGAATCTTTGCAAAGCAGTGTTTCCCAGAGTACCCTATATTTTGCTTTAAAGTCAGTCCAGCTCCCCCTACCCCCACCCCATAATGGCAGAAGGACTATCATGGTCTTTATACCTGATCCAAAAGCAACTGCTGCCCCAGGACAGAGCCCTCCTCAGGGCTCAGCAGAAGATTATAGTGTGTGTTATCTGGACCTGAGAACTGCACAGCCAAAGCCTCTCCCAAGAACTAGGCAATTAGGGAATTAAGAACTTTCTCCTCAATAGTGTTAAGCCCTGAGATCAAGCAATGTACGGTGCAGTGCGTGAGCACCTAGGCAAGCTGAATCCCCTAAGTGGACACAGAGCTTTCCTGTTAGTCAGGGCCTGTTGCAGCCACATTTAGTTATCACCCCCTCTACAGAGAGAAGAGGGGCATCCAGGAGGCCCACTCTGGCTGGACAGCTCTGTGCTGTGTCCCAGGGGAGGGTGCCTGGGCAATGGGCTGTGTGCACACTGGTCTCCAAGGCAAGAGGACCCCCAGGCCACTATTAGAGACTAAGTTTCCCTGTCACTGTGCTTACAGGAGAGGATGGACTTGGTGCCCTCCAGTATTAGTGACACGCATTTTTCTCATTGCAATGTAATAAACCTGTTTTCTGGTCGTAGACATCATTCACTTAGCACTTGTGCTAGGTGCTGGGGACATCCCACGTTTGACCAAGCTGTGTCTGCCCCTGAGAGAGGGGGCTGGCATGGGGGGTGTTGACCCCAAAAGGCTGGGTAACAGAGAGGGTCAGAAGGAACATTACAGGGTGAGAAGGGCCACCCTGAACAGACCTGTCCTCAGAGGCACCTGCCGGCCCTCTCCAGACAGCAGCCCTCCCTTTTAGCCTGCCCTGGCAGCTGCCTTTCCTACGGCTTCCACGAATTGAAGAATACACTCTGGTCATCATCTGTCCTCAAGGCAGGGAGGGATCCACAAGCGAGAGCCGGGAGGTGGCGCGGAGGACGCCGACTCTGCCCACGCCTGGGCAAGGTTGAGCTCCGTTCCCTCCGGGCCGCTCCGGCCTCCTGTCCGTGCAGGGCGCGTTTCCAGCCACCGCCGCACGCCAGGGATGGGCATCTTCCGGGATGAGCAGCGAGCCCGGGGACAGCTGGCCTGGGTCCTGTCCCTGGACCTACTCCACCTGCAGCTGGCGGATCAGGCCCCCGGACCCTCACTCCACTGCGGGAGCCAGAGCCGTCGCGCGGGGGATGTAGTGCCCAGACTGTGGCTCCCCCGCCTTCCCAAAGGAATTCCCCCATCTGCTCCATCCCTCTCGGGAAACAGCGAAAGGCTGCCAACCGCCAGCTTAGCGCACCGCAGAGCCACTGAGCAGCCCCGCCGAGGCTCCGAGCCAAGATTTCTGCCCTAATAGTTTCTCCCTTCTTTCTGTCTGCTCCACCGCACCCACTAAATACGGGGCTCACACACGGACACGCGTGCACACGCGGCGCTCACACACAGGCATGGGGCGCTCACACGCGCGCGCGGAGGTCTCCGTCCCCGGCACCCTGCAGCAGGGGTGCAGCCGGGTGCAGGGGGAGCCGGGGGAGGGCGCAGGGGTCCGCGGGGACGCGAGGGCTGGATGCCTGCCGGGCTCTCTCTCCGCCTTCCTCTTCCCTCCCAGTCCTACCGAGCTGACGGCGTCCCCATCACATGGAGCCCCCGCCCCACCCCAGCCCGTCCCCCGCCGCCAATGCCGGTGGCCCTTGCAGTCGCGTTACTACCCAGAGATTCATCTGTACCAGGGACAGAGGGAGAGAGGAGAGGGAGGAGGGGACACACACACACACACACACACACAGAGAGAGAGAGAGAGGAGAGAGAGAGAGGAGAGAGAGAGAGATTGCCTCCAGCAGCTGCTCTCGCTAGAGAAAGGCAGTGACCCAAGGGACCGCGAGTGAAGGGACAGGATGGCTTAAGTACCTCTGCCCACAGGACCCCACGACAGGGAGAGGTTCCAGCTACAGCTCCTCCGTGGGGTCATGGCAGGGGCTGGGGAGTCCCCTCAAAAGCCCTGAGGACCCCTGCACTGCCGCTAAGGGACACCCCAGAAGTTAGCATCAGTGGGACTCGGAAGCTCTGATCTCAACAAGTAAGTTGTCTTCTTTTCCTCCTCCATTTCTCCCCCAGCTCGCGGGTTCTGGAGGGCAGGACGACACCCTCAGGTGTCCATCGCTGGGCAGCAGGCTTCCACCGGGAACCTGCTAGATTGGTAGCCAGGAGGGATAAGGAAAAGCTTAGGGCAAGTCCCAAGTTTAGCCAGGAAATTGGAGATCTCCGTGGCTGCAGGCTGCCCTGGGCGTTGGGAGCCCAGCCATAAACACCTTAACTTCTGGCACTAGACCAGGGCTACCTGGGGGTGCCCCAGATCTCCCAGCAGTGGTTTGAGAGGCAACAGTGGCCAGGAGTGGGTGGGGTGGGGAGGACATTATTCACCTGGTAGGACTCTTCCTTCAAGTGGGAGCAGGGAGGGCCAGGGTGGGGGCGGTGCACCCCTCAGCCTTAGATCCCCAGCCTAATTTTGCTTTCTCTTTTAAGTGTGGCCAAATTGGAAACACGGCCTTGTGATTTCTGTCCCTCTCGCTGCCCGAGTCACTTCCTGCGTACCTCCCTATCTCCTTTTAAACAGCTTTCAAACGGTTCAGAAAGGCCAGGGGTCAAGGCTGTGAGGACAGAGGATAGGGAACAGGGAAGGGCGGCCTTGTCATTGCTCCCCTTCTCTTTAAGTCAGTGCTTCTCCCTGCAGAGCTGTTGGCCCCTGGTTTTATCTGCGCCTTCCCTCAAGCAGGGCTCTCCTGCCCCGGGGGCTGTGGAGGTCCTCAGGTCCAGCCCCCAAAGTTCTAGGGCCTACCCCAAACATCAGGGTGAGCAAGGCCAGCCCAGAACCTGTTCCAGGAGCCTTTTCAAACACCAGAAGATCAACAGGAACATTCCGAGCATTTTACTCTGCTTCAATCCTTTTAATAAGCTGAGATTATCATCCTCATTCTCCAGGTGAAAAATAGCAGCCCAGAGAGGCTGTGCAACTTGCCTCAGGTGCACAGCTCATAAAGGGAGATTCTCTCCTAGATATGACTTGAAAACATACCTTGTTTTCATAAGCCATGCTTTATCGGGCTTTCTGGTTCCCAAAGCACTTGTCCATGTGAGGAAAAGTCTAATATTTATGAAACCAAGGTGCTGAGCTAGATACGTTTACATGAGTTCATCCTGACAGCAGTCCTGTGGGGCAGAGCTTATTTCTTCTGTTTTACAGATGACAGTAAGGGTAACAGGATTCCGAGCACTAAGTGGCAGCAGCACTGTTATCTCCAAAACTCTTGTCCTCTGCCTTTACATCCAGGGTCTTTCCACTAACAAAAGCTAATTGTGAAAGCTGCTCTGGTCTTCCCATGTCCCTGCTTTTCCTCAAAGCCAGGTGTAAATCGCATCATCTGGCTGAATGAGGCCCTCAGGCTTCCTGGAATCTGAGGAATGAACAGGGCAGAGCGAATGATGTGGGAGTTAGAGGCCCATGGTTGGACTCTGGCATAAAGAGCTTGGTCCGCTTGGCTGGCATTTTAAACTATGGAGCCCACCTGAGATGGCACCATTCTGCCTAGAGGCATGAGGCCTTTAATGGGAGGCCCGGGGAACAGGGTATGTGTTTCTTGGAAGAGCAGCAGCAGGGCCACCATTGAAAGAGAGGAAACAGCACATAGAGAACTTGCTGGCTCAGGAGGCTGAGGTGAGAGGATTACTTGAGCCCAAGAGTTCAAGATCAACTGGGGCAACATAGCAAGACCCCATCTCAAAAAGAAAAAGAGAAAGAAAGGATGGAGAATTTGCCCATACATTCCACAAAGCACAAGGATTGTCCCCAGAACAATGTTCTAGACCCAGCTCTCCAACAGAAAGGGAACCAGCTACTCAGGGGTAGCTGTTTTCTGGCCTCTCCAAAAGCTGCTAGAAACCGCTGGCATTACTCACACGCAGCATTTGGATTGAAGTAGTCTGCCTGCATTCAGCAGAAAATGAACGTGCTCCATCCAGGGAGCAGTCCAGCTAGAGGAGGAGCCAAGGGTGAGGGGGTCAAAGAGAACCTGGGCCACATTCACTCTGCCTGGGGCTGTCCCCCAAGCTTAGCTGTCTTCTCTGGGATGAAGTTAGCTCTTAGTGGGATTCCCCACCACGGCTTCTCCGGAGTCAGCTGGCATGTCCTGAGCAGTGCAGAGCTCGTTGTCTGTGGCTCCAGCAGACACATGTGTGTGGCTCTGTCACAGCATTCCTCAGCCCCACTGTCCCTGGTGCCAAGCTAGATCCCTTTGGCGCTTTCTGCAAGCACCAGACTGGGTTTCTTGTCCAGGAATCTGGGAGACTCTGAAGCCTGCTCTAGTCATCTGTGATGAAGTAAACCCCCACGGAGGGAAGAAACGACTAGAATGCCCAGTCTCTGGTTCCCATTTGCCCTTCAAATCACCTGCTTCTTCCTGCCTGCTGTGGGCGAAGCCACAAACGTGTGTGCTGTGCTTTCACGTACTTGAAAACTGCATCCACTTCTGCAGTGTTGTTTTTGTTTTTCTGGTTCAACAACCGTTCGTTTGATCACCTATCATGTGCCAGAAATCATTAATTTTTGAAAACCTTGGAATGTGATCGTTGGGGCAGGGTTATGCTTTTTGTTTAGGAGAATATTAGCAAACTTGCATTTTCTGAGCCAATACTGATTGACCATTTAGGCTGGAGGTGGAAGGATGGTGGGGAGAAGGCAGGGGTCAGGGACTCCATAGGTAGCTCAAAGGGGCTATTTTTGGATGAAAATGTTCACTGTGTGTGAGCTATAGACAGGTCACTGAGGGCTGGCAGTGTGTTCCAAGAGCGGATCCGTCATCAGATAACTGTTAAGATAGTTGTCAGACATGGAGAAATCTTTCTGGTTTTTTTTTTTCTAAAGAAAAAACAAGAAGAATGGGAGTTCCAGTTCAGAGGAATGTAGTGAGGTATTTGAATAAGAATACCTGAGTGTATCTTTCAAAAAGACTTGTGGAGTGGCTTTCTCTGGAATTGTTTTAAAACAGAGTGGACAGCTTCCCCTTCTGACGTTCTGCCAGCCAGGGCTGGCATAAGCGGCTGCCTCTGAAGGCCCTGCCTGGGCAGCAGCAGCTTATCTAACTCCTCCTACCTTGACATTCTGATAAGGGAGCTATTCTAGTCAGCAGGGCCCAGGATGGCGGGAACCCTTGCCAAGAGCCGTGCTAAGTTAAATGGTAGAGCCAAAGCTTTAACATGTGACCCTGGAGATCCTGGCTAGTGCTTAAACTGTTAACATCCATTATCGTTCCAGACCAGAGCAAGCTGAGGGCAAAGGTCATGGATCATCTGACCAGTTGGCAGGTGGCAATGGCACTTCCTGGTCACCAGGGATCAATCAATAGGATGGCCAGAGAGTTTGGGGGCAGGAAAGGGTGAGGGTGGGGGAGAAATGGAGGGGTTGGGGAGGGAAGGAGAGAGCAAACTCAGAGTCTCATTCTCCTCCCCTCTGACTTGGTGGTCCGGGACTGGGTGTGCTGCCCACACTATACCTTCTCTCAGGTTTCAGGCACCCCACTTTACATTCAGGGAGGTCCAATGCTATCATCTTACGTTATTTCCTGCTGCTCAGAAAGGAAAATGGGAGTGGGGCGCAGTGCAAGAACCAACAGGACCTCAGATGCTTCCTGGAACCAAACCTGTATCTCCCCCTTAGAGTGTGCCCCCCACTCCCCCAACCCCAGGGAGGAGGGCACTGCTGAGGACTTGGTGCCTAGAGCCCGGGGCAGTGGGAGGTGCTGCTTCTGCTCCAGCAAGGGGGATTGTCCAGCAGTGCCAGCAGAAGCCATGGGTGCCAGGCCCCAGGAACCGGCCCACTGGATGTCACAGTATGAAAGCTTCCCCAGCCAAGTCAGGTTGCTTTGTGAAGTGTCCTTCTCCAGATGAACTCCCTCAAAAAATGAGTAGGGAGCTCCTATTACAGGCCAGACCTTGTGCAGGCACCTGAGTTAGACGGGGAAGAGGGGCGGATCTTACACACCAGGCCTGCCGCCCGCCCGAGGAGCTCTCAGACCACTGCCTGGGGGCGGCAGAGCTGCCCGGACAGACTCCAGCATTGGTGCTGCGTGCCCTTACGGAGAGGCACAGGAGCCGCAGGGGTGAAGGCGGGCTGCCCTGGGGGAGCAGGGAAGGCTTCTAAGGGGGCTTGAGAAACAGGTTTGCTGGTGAAAGGGTAGAAGGGGCCCAGGGAGTGGTTTGGAGAGGAGAGAGCCAAGGCTAGACACAGGGCAGTAGGGAGGGAGGCCTGGGCCTGCGGCTGCCCCCAGCCCCGACCACCTCTCCTGCGTCTCTTTCAATGTCCCGCCTCCCAGGTTCACGCCATTCTCCTGCCTCAGCCTCCCGAGTAGCTGAGATTACAGGCGCCCGCCACCTCGCCGGGCTAATTTTTTGTATTTTCAGTAGAGACGGGATTTCACCGTGTGAGCCAGGATGGTCTCGATTTCCTGACCTTGTGATCCGCCCGCCTCGGCCTCCCAGAGTGCTGCGATTACAGGCGTGAGCCACAGCGCCCGGCCTCACTCATTCTCTTGATCATGGATGCCGTTTAGTGCATTTATGCTTCTTTAACTCCATCTCTTTACTGCAGTCATTCCTTATTTTTCCACTAAACGCTTTGATTTTGAGATCATTATACATTCACATGCAGTTTCAGAAATAATGAACAGAGATCTGCCACTCCCTTCATCCAGTTTCTCTCAGTGGTAATATTTTGCAAAACTGTAGTACACCATCAAAACGAATACATAACTGATAAGAAAACAACATTTCTGTCACCAGGAGTATCTCTTATGTGGCCCTTTTATAGCCACGCCCACTTCCATCCCACCCCGCCCTCTCCTTAACCTCTGGCAATCACTTGTCTGTATTTGTCATCTCAAGAATGTTATGGAAGTAGAATTATACAGTATGTAATCTTTTGGGATTGGCCTTTTTCACTCAACAAAATTCTCTGGAGATTCATTCAGGGGTGTGCCTGTGTGCTTGTTGGGGCTGGGGGTGAGGGGTGTGTGTGTGTGTGTGTGTGTGTGTGTGTATGTGTGTGTGGTTTTTTTATTGCTGAGTAGTGGGAATGTACCATAGCGGGAAGGTACCATTGCTTGTTTAACCATTCACTTACTGAATGACATCTGGGATGTTTCCACTTTGGGGCAATTATGAATAAAGTTGCTATAAACATTTGTGTACTGGTTCTTGTGTGAACACAGGTACATAGGTTTTCATGTCTCTGGGATAAATGCCCAGAAGTGTAATTGATGGGTCTTCTGGTAGTTGTATGTTTAGTTTTTTTTTCCCAAAGAACTCTCAAGCTGTTTTCCATTGTGACTATGCCATTTTACACTCCCACCAACAATGTATCAGTGATCCAGTTTTTCTGCATTTTTGCCAATATTTGTTATTGTCACTATTTCCTATTTTAGCCATTCTAGTCCTATCTTGTTGGGGTTTTATTTTGCATTTCCCTGATTACTAATGCCGTTGACCATCTTTTTTTTTTTTTTTTTTTTTTTTTTTGAGACAGAGCCTTGTTCTGTCGCCCAGGCTGGAGTGCAGTGGTGTGATCTCGGCTCACTGCAACCTCTGCCTCCTGAGTTCAAGTGCTTCTCTGGCCTCAGCCTCCCAAGTAACTGGGACTACAGGTGCGTGCCACCATGCCTGGCTAATTTTTGTATTTTTAGTAGAGACGAGGTTTCACCATGTTTGTCAGGCTGGTCTCAAACTCCTGACTTCAGGTGATCTGCTCACCTCAGCCTCCCAAAATGCTGGGGTTACAAGCATGAGCCACCATGCCTGGCCTGTTGACCATCTTTTTATGTGCTTATTTGCCCTCCAGATATCCTCTCACGTCTTTTGCCCATTTTCTAATTTGATTGGCTTTTGTTGTTGTTTCTGTTGAGTTTTGAGAATTAAGTATATATTTTAGATACCAGTCCTTTGTCAGTCAGATATGTAATTTACAAATGTTTTCTCCTACTTTGTAATTTTGCCTTTCCATCTTAACAGAGTCTTTAAGAGCAAGTGTTTTTAATTTGATGGAAGTTTAATTGACCAGTTTTTCTTCTTATGGATTGTGCTTTTGTTGTCAAGTCTAAGAACTCTTTGCCTGCCCCAGATCTTGAAGAGTGTCTCCCATGTTTTTCCCTAGAAAGTTTTATTGTTTTATATTTAAGTTCATGATGCATTTTGAATTAACTTTGGTACAAAGTCTGAGACTTAGGTCAAGGTTCTTTTTTTTGCCTAAAAATGTGCAATTGCTGTGGCACCATTTGTTGCAAAGACTGTTTCCTCCCCTGAATTCCTTTTGCACTTTTGTCAAAAATAAGTTGGGCATATTTGCAAAGGTCTATTTCTGGGTTCTCTGTTCTGTTCCATCAATCTATGTGTCTATCCTTCTGCCAATACCACATAGTCTGGATCACTGCAGTTATGTAATGAGTCTTGAACTTGTGTAGACTGATTCCTTCCACTTTATTCTTTTCCAAAATTGTTTTATCTATTCTAGTTGCTTTGCCTTTTCACATAAGTTTAGAATAATTTTATCTATATCTATAAAAAATCTTGTGATATTTTGATAGAAATTGCATTGAATCTGTATACGAATTCAGAGAGAATCAACATTTTTACTATATTGAGTCTTCCAATCCATGAATACAGTATGTTTCTCCATTTATTTGCTATTCTTCAGTTTCTTTCTTTGGCATTTTGTAATTGTCACTAATTGTGTGACCTTGGACATTAGTCTTTCAGACCTTCAGTTCTCTGTCTGTAAAACGTGCCTGGTAATACCTACCTTGAAATGCCATGGGAAAGTCAAATAAGATAGTACATGAGCAGTACCCCATGGCAAGCACCACGACGCAGTTCCCTTCAGCTGGGTCTCTCATCTGTTCGTTCTTTCTTCTTCTTCAGCTTTCATTCTGATGTCCACATCCACTTACACTTCACTTTGTCTTTCCTTATCCTTTGCTTTTTTTTAATCCTTCTTTCATTCTCAACTCCTTACTCTAATTTTTCTCTCTTCTTTCTTTCTTTCTCTTTCTTTCTTTCTTTTCTTTTCTTTTTTTTTTTTTTTTCTGAGACAGAGTGCCACTCTGTCACCCAGGCTGGAGTACAGTGGTGCAATCTCGGTTCACTGTCAACCTCTGCTGCCTGAGTTCAAGGATTCTCATACCTCAGCATCCCGAATAGCTGAGACTACAGGTGCTCACCACCACGCCCAGATAATTTTTTTGTATTTTTAGTAGAGTTGGGGTTTCACCATGTTGGCCAGGCTCTTCTCAAACTCTTGACCCCAGGTAATCCACCTGCCTCGGCCTCCCAAAATGCTGGGTTACAGGTCTGAGCCACCACTGCCGGCCTTTCCTATTTCTTTCACATTGTTTTTCTCTTATTCTCACCGGACTTTTCTGTTTCATTTCTTCTCCCACGGTATTTGTCTCTCTCCTCTTTCCTGGATCATTTAAGCATTCCATTTTTGTGGAGTTGCTCAGACATCGAGTGTGACTCAAGGGTCACTCAACCTGAGTTCAAATCCAGATCAATCACTTACTAGATTCAGGACAGTTGACTCACCCTCCTGCACCTCAGTTTTCTCATCTATAAAATGGGGAGAACAGTATCTACCTGATACCTTTTCTGAAATGATTAAATGAGTTTATACATGTAAAGCATTTGGAATAAAATTGGGTATATGGTACAGCCCCAGTAGGTAGCTATAATTATTGGGATTTTACCTGTTATGTCCAGTTTCCCTCTTTCTCACATTTACCTTCCCGCACCATCTGATCCTGTTCACTTGTATATGAATATATTCAAATTCTAATTACCTTGCTTTCAGGCTGTCATCTCTGTGCACTTTTGCCTCATATTGCCTAATCATCACTGATAAATTGGCACCAGCCCAGGAAATCTGTCCCTTGGGTTATAGAGAGGAAACAAGTGGTTTTTCATTTTGATTTAATTATTAATCCCTTTTATTATTTAATGTGGAATACATACACTGTGGGGTTACAATGAGGAAAATGGATTATCACTGTGCGGCTCACTTTCAAAGAGATGGTAGGCTTAAAAAGGAAAAGTACCAGACAGACAGAAACAAATGTGGGGAAAAGGCAAAATTAATTAATTTGATTTCCGTGCCCTTTTCATGGCCATGATTTTTCATACATCGTCTGTGGGATCCAGGAGGGTGCATGTGGATTTTGCAAGTAAGCCACAGCTAAGTACTAAAGGGAAGGGGTGTAAGGAGTGGTGAGTGGCCCACAGCGGCTCACCAAGGAGGGCAGAAAACTACTCATCCTAAGCAAATGGGAGGCTGGTAGGTGGGAAGCTCAGTCACAAGCTCACGCGCCTGCTCCATAGGTGCAGTGCTCAATCATGGGCTTCATCTGTGATGCTAAGTTACTTGAAAGGCACTCACCTGTCACTAAGCCTTTCAAATCTATATTCCATACCTTGAATCGGGCCTGATATCTGCCCTTTAAAAAACTGCTGAATATATTTAGACTCACTTAGATATGCTGGACAGAGGGATATTTTAAATACCATCAAAATGGTCTTTTTGTCTCTGTATTTTCTCCAAAGAATTGAACTCCTCAAGCAAAATGCCAGATCTGCCTGCTCTCCTTTCAGACTAGAATTCTGCCTCCCTTTAAAAATCCTTACATGAAACACCATTTAATCCTTCTCTCTCTGCCTTTTTGTGTTTATGGTGACCTCTCAGTATTCTGGTTTCTTTAATGACAAAGTAACTGTGGAATCAGTCCACAGCATTTCTAGGGTACGTGTTTCTCTCCAGATATCAGAAAATAATGCATAAGGTTTTATTACTTCCTTAGACTTGTGGTGGGGAATCCTCCAAGGATGGAGTTGGAATAAGCAGCCCATTCTCTCCCGGTTGTCTGGGCTACCCGAGGCTCTGCAGGCCCCAAACTCACTTTCTGTTGCCCCATTTGGCACCAACCGCCCCCCTTTGTTGTGCAGCCAGAAGTCAGGACTGCCTGGCAGACCTATTGCTAAATCTTTCAGTGTTTATATTACACAAAACTCCACAGTAGGTGTTTCTGTGTCTACAATGCCAGAATCCTGGGAACGAGTTAACCCAAATTAGTGTGCCCTCTGGCAAGCCCCACTATCCAACTATAAAAGGGGACTAATGTGATAGGATTCTCGTGAGCCAACACCAGAGCTGGAAGAGCCCAACAGAGATGCAAACTGCCATTATTATTCCATAATAACAACTCCACATACAGGAATACCGGGATTATTTGAGACCTTATATCTGCCCTTAACCTATACCAATCCAATCCACGGGGGCCAAGTACATTACACCAGTATTTGGTAGGATAGGATTTTTCATGATAAAATGGCAGAGATGTCAGGAACATTAGGATTTCCACAAGTAGCATTTCTATGTCTTATATAGGAAAGAGACCCAGGGTGGTAACCTATAGAGTAACATGTAATGTGGGGCACAGGATGTGGCCAGGAGAGTCAGGGTTATGATTCAGAACCAAGATGGCTGGACTCCAATGGGTGTGCAGTAGGAGCGTGGGAAAGCACGGGCTCTGAAGTCAGGCCGCTGTCAGTTCAAACCCAGGTTCTGCTGCTTGCGAGCCATGTGGTCTCCCACAAGTTCCCTCCCTGCTCTGAATCTCAGTCTCCTGATCTGAATACTGGATATAAAACACTTATTCCACAGTGTTGCTGAGCTGATCAAGTGTGTTAACACACGTAAGGCTCCTAGTCCAGAGCAGCGCGCACACACACACACACACAGACACACACGCGCACGTGCACACACATGCACACACAGACACACACACACACGGACACACACGCGCACACACACTTCAATTCCAGAGCTGTTCTGCAAAGAAAAACCAAAAGGCAGTCCAAGCTGCGCAGGTAATGAATTGACGACGTGTTTAAAGCAAAAGCAAAAAGAGTGCAAAGGCCATGGAGAATGTGGCACAGACAGGAAAGATGCTCCCTAAAGAGCTTGTCTTGGTCAGGGTGTCTCTGAGCAAAATGAGGGACAACTGAGTGACTCTGGGATCAACCTCAGTCCTGCATCCTCGTCAACACCTTAACTTTGTTCTCAACAATAATCCCACCCATGTGGGGAGCTCCCCTTCGAGGGACAGAGGCAGCCCAGAATGGAGGCACAGGATGCGCTGAGAAGGGGAGACCTGGGTGCCAGTGACAGCTCCCCAGGGATGGTCGGTGTGAGCAAGGCCGATGCAGCAGAGCCCCTCACCCGCCTGAGATGCCTCGTCCGCCTTCCCAGCAGCTCCCTTCCACGGAGCCCTTAACAGCTTGGCAATCAGAGAACATCGTGTGCACGGACAGCTCCGCGGGGATGAAGTGTCCCATCTGACACAGACTGTTCCGAGATCCGCGCTGTCCCTGCCTGGCTCTGCGTTTCACTGAAAGCCCCATGCCCTGATTCCGGCCCTCAGTCCCCGCGCACAGCCACCGGAGACTCTAGCCACTCTGGATAATAGAGGTGGCCTTTCTGGGGCATTCTGCTTGGAGAAGAGGTGAAAGAGCTATGCATGCCTGGAGCCCTGGGAGTCCATGACAGCCAGGAGCATCCTGGGCATAAAAATCAGCACCTGCGGCCTCATCCCACTCATCTCGCACAGCTCTGCAGTCCTTTCCATCCTTTCCGGGATGCCCTCACCGCTGATAATCAGCATCCATTACATCGGCGCCAGGAACCAGCACAGGAGGCCGCCTGATCCCCCCTCCTGTCTCTCCAGCCCTCCTCTGGAAGGACTCAGAGCGCTTGCAGTCAGAAATCTCTCCCCATTGAGACCATTTTTACTGTTGGTGAACTGGAGGACTATTGCCATTGCCCAAGACGCTGTTCTCTGCAGCAGGTTTGCACGGGGTGCCAGTTAGGGAGGAGAGGGCAGCAAGGAACCCCACACTTTAAGGAATTGGGATGTCATAGCAGCCATCTGCATGGTGGAGGGGGCTGGGGAGCACAGGGCTGTTGGCAAGGAGATAGAGCTAGTTGGGACCACGGGAGCCAGGCTGATGGGCACTGAGGGGGCAGCCCAGGTGGCCCTCTCTGCTATCATGGGCCTTGCAGATTAAGTTCTCTTCCTGCCGGGCCTCCTGCCTTCATTGTCCTGAGGACTGGCAGGTAATGTTTGTGGCAGATCTGTTAGTGCAAACAGGGAGGTGCTGAGAGGAATCTAGTGGCACTACCACAACTCCTACCACCACTCTCAGCCTAACTCACAAAGCAGCCCAACGTATCCATGGGAGGAAAAGGCTTCTCTCTGACTCCCTAGCCCAGAAATACAAACCGGCAGCTGACAGACTGAATCTGACTCACACAGAGATCTTCTATGGCTTGCTCACTTTTTCAAAAACTGTCGAATTAGTGGTCAACATGGAAAAAGAGAAATTTCATCTTCAAAAGTTTAATTTCTGGCTTTTCTGGAAAAAGCAAAAGGAGGATCTTGCAGTACTGGCTCCACGGCATGGCAAGGCAATAATAAACTAGAGGCGAGTCACGGCTGCCGCTTTAGAACTGCATGTGTGTACAGCTCACCACAGTCCCCACCACCCCCTACCATGTCCCCCAAACCCAGGGGAAGTTTTGGTCACATTTATCATGGGTTTGTATATTTGCTTTTCCTAGAATAAACACAATGCAATATTTTAAATGTTTCTCTACATCAAAATATGAAAATGAGGGTCTAAGACATCCCATTTAAATAGAAATAGGAGAAAGCCTACTAACTGCACGGGACCAAGAAGGATGTAGAGTGTGTCTGTGTCGGAAGAACCCAATCCAGCAACTGTGCTCGCTGACCTCACACAGCCACAGAGGCGGGTGTAGGCGGCAGAGCTCAGCACAAGACCCACAGGTTCTGGTTACTATGACACACACATCCTGCCCAGTGGAGAAATTCCAGAGTGAGGAGGCATTACCCTCACTCCTGGCAGAGGCAGACCTGCCTTAGAAGAAGGAGAATCCAGTAAAGGCGTGTTAAGAATGAAATCAGCGGCTGCTAGTCAGGGCTCTTGTTTCTACTGTGGGCGCCATTGTCCAAGCAGACCTTCAGAGAGCGACGGGGCACTCTTGGTGATGCTGCCAGAACAGCAGGTGCTACCTGGGACGCATGGACACCTTATCTCATTGGAGCAATCAGGGACCTTTGGGGGCAAGTACTGTGGTTAGAAAAAGTCTAACCACAATAAGAGGAGCAGCTGTTAGATGAATAGGGAGCATGCTGGAGGGGAGCAGGAGGGAGAGGGAGAACACAGCCCTGGTTGGCGGGAAGTGACTCGAGCTGCTGGGCAGCCTGTGCACAGCGGGCCACACAGCAGGAAATCATGAATTCCTTCCCTGGTGCAGATCAGGCTGGTGTGGATCTGGCTCCAGTCAGGGCCAGTTTTCTCAGGGCTTGATCCCCCCGGGGGCTCAGAACAACCTGGTCACACCCAGAGGGCTCAGGAGGAACAGCCTCCCCAGCAGCAGTGGCTGCACTCAGAGCCTTTGGAATCAGACAAAACCTAGTCCACAGCTTAGTAACCGTGGCCTGAAGCAAGCTACTGAATCACTCTGCTTCTGTGACCTGTAAAATGAGGCGACTAAACCAGACTTCATAGATCTGTTTGAGGATTAAATGATACAATGCACGAAAAACACTTAGCACAAAGATGGCACATAACAGGGATTCCATGCCCGAACTTTTATTACTGTTTGCTCCCCTGTTCTCATGCCCACAAGGCTCTGCCACCTCATCCTGCTCACTGGGCGCCTTCCTCACCAGGGCCTTCCTGACCCTTCCTCACCCGCCCCAGACACGCCAAATTCAGAACTGCACCTTGGCCTCTCTCTCACTCTCTATTGCACTGATATATATATATTTTTTTTTGCCTGTGTACTCCCCACCAGACCGGGAACTCCTTTTGGACAGGGAATGCATCAAGGATCCTCAATCTAATTGCCTGTTGGACTCACCTGGGGCCAGATTCTGGTACTAGGCATCAGCACGTTGTCCAGCTCCCAGCTGATGGCAGCGTGTGTCCAGGGCAGAGAGGTCGTGCTACTCAGGTGTGCACTGAGGACCAGCCGCATCAACATCACTGCAGCTCCTTAGCAACACCGCGGACTCTGGAAACTCCAGACCTAGAGAATCAGAACCTGCATTTTAGCCAGATCCCCAGGAATGGAAAGCACAGGAATGCCATCGAAGTGTCCCCAGAGCTCGACATAATTCAAACACCTAGTGGGTGTTGAGTGGGGGTTCACTGATTGACTAATTGACTGAATGAGTGAAGCCCTGTGTCAGTTTCCACTGGGACTTCACACCTACTCCCTCATGTGCTATGAAACAAACAGGCTCAAAAAGTAAACCCGTAAAACATTCAGGAATTCAAAAACAGACACAGACCTAAGTTGATAGAACAAATAGCTGCAAAATGGTGAGGTTTTCAAATGAAATACCTGATGGGATTTTAAAGATTTATTACCACCAGGCTCTGCGCCATTAAACCTCTTCTATTACACGTGAAGATAATTTTGGTTTTAAGATTAGTAATTGTGAAAACCTGGGAAACCAGGACTGGCCCCTGGGAGGATCCTGTCCACCTGTGTGGTTTGGGCACAGCCTCCAGGTGGCTGGGGCCGCTGGAAGGAAGACAGACTCGCTGGTGGGGAGTCCCCGGCACTGCCAAAGGCCTCCCCACGCCCGTTCCCTGGGGACAGGGCCTCTGTCTCCCCTCCGCAGGCTCTTCCTGGCTCTCACCCTCCCAGCCTGCATCCCCCAGCCCCGCCTCCTCCGCCGCCGCGGAGCTGCAGCTGACTAGGGGGCCGAGCCCAGGCGGCGAGCATCGCCTTATCCAGCCCCACTGGGGGCTTCGTCCCCCGCGGAGTGAGGGGTGTCCCCTGTGTCACACTCCGAGGCCAGGCTAGAGGTTGCGGCGCTCAGGACTCCCGGTTCCCGCCGCCCTCAGGCTCCCCAGTCCCAGCCTCCCTCCCCATCTCTCCCAGGCTCCCTTCCCCAGTCTCAGCCCCCATCTCCGGTCCCAACCTCCTCTGCTTCTCTCCCGGGATCCGGCCAGGAGATCGACGGGTGGCGGGAGGGGCGCTCTGGCGACCCTGGAAGCGAGAAGCAGGCCTCTGCAGGGCCAGGGATGAAGGTGCAAGGGAAACTCCTGGGACCTGGACCTTAGTCGTGGGAGGGACGAAAGGGAAAGTTCTTAGAAAATTCTTCAGGCTTTGGCTTCTGGGGGGCGGGACGGGGCGGGGGGGAGGAAAGGCGCACGGGTTCCCGGTCCCACCGGCGCTGCAGCCGAGCGGGGCCTCCAGGCATGCGCTCATCTAGAGCAGCTGAGGCGGAAGCCGGAGAGCCTGCAGCACTAGCTGTGCGACTCCGGGCGAGGTTTTTAAACTCTCTCCTGTTTTCCGCTTTTGTAAACTGAAGATAATGTCTCTCTCCTGGGAGTGGGAGCACGATGCAGACACTCCGTAGGAATTCGGGACTTCTTGATTCCCCTTCCTTATCCTTGAGTTGTTTGAAGCACTCCGGCCCCTCAGCCCCACGCCTTTTCCCAGCCCTGCCCCCTGGTGGAAAATCGTAAGAACTACCTCTCAGGAGGGCTCCCGTAACCCAGACACTGTACACACACTTTTCATTTCATCTTCGCAGCAGCTCTTCTTGGTGAGTACTGTTATCCCCATTTTGCAAATAAAGCAACGGAGGCTTAGAGAAGTAACTTTTCCAAATGTGCCTCAGCTCCAGGCAAAATAGGAACTTAGGTCATCTGATGCCAGAGTCAGCCTTCCTCACTGTTTATGATCCGGCTTCCCTTTCTGTACTGAATTTTCTATTTCTGCCATAACAGATGACCACAGGCATAATGGCTGGAAACAGCACCCATTTATTAGCTCACAGTTCTGTAGGTCAGAAGTCCAGGCTCGATGCGACTGTGTTCTCTGCTCTGTTCTCACAAGGCCAAAACCAGGGTGTCAGCGAGGCCTGCATTTTCATGTGGAACTCAGGGCCCCCTTCAAGCTCCTGTGGTTCTGGCAGAATTCAGGTCTTTGTGGTTGTAGGACTGAAGTCCTCATTTTTTCGCTAGCTCTCAGCTGGGGGCTGCTCTCAGCTCCCAGAGGTCACCCACATTCCTTGCTCTGTGGCCCCCTCTATCTTTAAAACCAGCAGAAGAGAACCTCCCTCTGTCTAATTCCTCTAATAATTCGAATCTCCTACTTCAGAAAAAGCCCAATGCCTTCAAAGGGCTTATGACTGGGTCAAGCTCACCCCCGATGAACTTTCTTTCTTCAAATCAGCTCTGCCATATGACATGCCCCAGTCATGGGAGTGAGGATTTCCTGGGGTTCCTCAGGGGGTGTATACAAGGGGGCAGGAATCACCAGGGTGTCTTGGAATTCTGCCTACTTACAAGTGCCTTCCCTGTCACCAGCATGTATTCTGGTGTTACATTTAAGTGTAACACCTTGAACGCTTCCTGCTAACCCTAAAGGGCCTTGAGGGGAGAGGGGCAGCCTATTCACCAACCAGTTTGGAGCATTTTCCTATGAGTACAGTCATATATATTCCCATAGAAGAGTATACAAATATCTCCATATGAAACATAAGCACACCCTCCTCCATTCCTCTTCCTCCAACCTCATCCCATGTTTCAAAGCTCAGGGAATGTACATTTTGATCCAGCATATCTGAGAGAGAAAGTAGGAAATTGATAAAGATGTTTGTGATCACAGATAGGGAGACTGAGTCTGAAAAATCACTCCCAGCCCAGTGATCTCTCCAGGAAGCCCTGCTGACCCCCAAGCAAGGCTCTTATCAAGTTGCTGTGGCCCCGACTCCTGACATTCTAGACCACGCCGTGATCTCTCCAGGAAAACCACCAAGTTTTCCTCCCTATGGGTGCGTGATGTTTGACCTTCTTAATCCAGAGGTCCATCTAAATGGATGTCAGATTCACTAATGCATCATCTGAAATACAACTTCCTTTGATTTTGCCTCTTTTGAGTCTTTCTCCACTTGTGTTTTCCTATCAAAGGGATTAAACCACTTTGCTGGACTTGAAGTTCTGTCTTTTCCAAAAGCTTTCTTCATGTCTCAGCACAGCTTCCCATTCGCAGACACAGGAGAGGGTGGAAGAAGAGCAGTAACAGGCTTGATGAGGCTTGATAGGATTTGCTCAAGTCAGTGCCTTTCCCTGCGTCCTGCAGAGAGTAGCTAGGATGTTCGGCTTGCCTGGGCCAGCCACGGCGTTCCTCGCTGTCTGTCCTCTACAGACAGTTCTGTAAAAACCCTAGCTTCAAAGAGGAAATGCTCGAATATCAACAATGAGAGGGCTGGCTCTGCGTTTATCTTCTTCACTGCTTTATGTCCAGCTCCTAGCACAGGGGCTCCGCTACAGTAGTTCCTCAATTAATGTGTGCTTAATGAGTGCATAATTAATAGAACGGATCTCAAAAACCTGATTAAAGAATTTCATCTCCATTGTCCCTGAAAATCCTTTTGACTTGATAGGCACACAACACTGGAAGCCAGGGTTTCAAGGATGGGGATTTTACTTACCCTTAAAAGAAATCTGAACAGTAGAAGCTCCATGCCAGTCAGCCCAATGCTTGCCCTGCAAATTGCCCTCTGGGCCTTTAGCTCCTTGTCTTAGATATTCTCTACCTCTCTTTCTTCATCTTTAAAATGGAATTAATGGGATATTGCATTAAATTTCAATTTGAGGAGAGATTATGAATACGTATGTTTATTTTATTTATATTTATGTTTGTATCATGTATTCCTTCCAAGAATCCCTACAATTGGCTCCCAGGGCTGGAGGGGCAGAGAATATTATCTGGGATTTATAGCAGAGTAAACTGAGCAAAGAAAGTTAAGTTTGTTTTTCTTTGGACCACAAAGCAGGTTGTTGGACACTGAGTTAGAATCCAAATGTTACCCTGGGTTGAGCAAGGAATGACTTCTGCAAATGATTCCAGTGCACAGGAATGCATCCCAATATCAAATCAAAAGTAAACCACCTTTGCCTATCTGCCGGACGCAAAAAGTTCTCCTATCTGGGCTGAAGTCTCCTAGAAAACATTTTCCCATTTCTAGTACAGCACAAAGCCTTCGCCTACAAGAATGTATGCAAGTATGTTTAAAAATAAAGAAGGAAACAGTGCAGAAAATCAGCAGCAAGCTGTTTTCCCCAAAGAGCTGAGCACAGAAGGATGTGAGCTCCCATGTGCCCCAGCCGATGACTCATTCCTGTGGGCACTGTGCCTGCCCTGCCCAACCTCAGTGGCTCAGGGAGTCCGCAGCAGCACCCCCATTGGAACCCTGTCTTGGTTCCAGCAGCTGGGGTGTCCAGAATACACGGGGCCTTGGGACAGCAGCATTTTCTACCATCTCCGAGCGTCTGTGATCAGGTTTTCAGGATGAAGTCTCCCACTTAAGGCAGAGCAAATTCCTGCTTGGGATTCTGCAAAGATGGCCCCAAGCATTTTCCTCCTTGTCTCATTTATCTTTGTTAACTGCCACACGAAGGAGCAGGAAGCAGGTGGCCCTATGCAGAGTGGTAAATGGCCAATGGATATGTGGGACAAATAGCCCTTCAGATGACCTTTCGATATGATGTTTTAAAGGTTACTTTAAAATTGCTATAACCACTCAGGCAGCACAGGAAAAGGCCTGCCAGGGTCATCTGACTTCCCGGGACAGCTGGAATCTACCTTGGTTTGCCATTAGGCAGTCGGCTCAGTGGTTGACACACCTTTCTCCAGATTGTTCCACTGGGGACACAGCTTCCTGGTGTTCTGCCTGGTGGAACCTGCAGCTGGAGTCACCCTCAGAATGGTGGCAGGGGAATTCCTGCAAGGGACTACCCAAACCATCCCCAAATGGGGTCAGTTGAGATTCCAAAGAAGAAAGCACCAAGTTCCAAAGCACTTATGAGGGGAACTTACATGTAGAGCACTGCAGTGGCCCTCATGACGGACAGCAAGAAAAGAGATGCTCTGTTTAGGTACGTCTGCAGCAAGGGCTCTGGGTTATGGAGTTACTTGGCCTAAAGTTGGGCTAATTCCTACATGTTTAGCAACATGTTTGATCCTTCAGTATTTCAGGTGACAACCTAAACAGGGTTTCAGCGCCAGGGAATGTTTCCAGGGCTCAGGTCTGCAGGCAAAGACATGCAGCTGGCCAGGTGGCAGAGCAGTCTAGGCATTCTGTGTTCCTTGATCAGGACAGATAAGTAAGTGGTGGTTCCTGGGGGACCCTATACCTGGGAAGGAGGGTACCTGCGAATTCAGGGAAAGCTTGCTTATAAAGAGGAAGAAGGGTTGAAGGATAGTATCCCTAAGGTGACGTTTCCCAGGGCTGGAAGCTCATAGAACTTTCTGGAGGGAGCAGGTCATCAGCCTTAGCATGAGCCATGGAGCATCAGTGTCTGCTGGCCATTGTGTGGTGAGTGCTATGGGTCAGGCCTCGGGCTGCAGCCAGATAAACTTAGACCCAGAACCTCACTTGGCCACATGCTACCTGAGCTTCATTCTTCTCTTCTGAAAAATGGGGGGATAATAATAGTATTTATCTAACCATGTTGTGAGGATTAAATCAGCTAATGGATAGAAATGTCCTAGTGCAGTGCGTGGCTTCTGAGTGCTCAGAAATGTAGTCAGTTATTGCTAATTAAAGAGGTCTTTCCTAATTGCATGAGCGCCTTAAAGCATGTCAAACGGGTTTTGAGGGAAATATCCGACACCTGTACTGCAGGCGTCTGGGTATCTCTTGGGGGTATGGCAGGTACCCCCCAAACATGTTATGCCCTTTGAAGAGCCTTGGGGCCATTAACATCCTGTCCATTTCAATTTCTTAGAGGACAGGGAATCAAATTTTCTAATGGCGGGCCTAGACAGCAATTTGTCATTTTAATAAGTGCTCAGATGGCCTCAGACTTCACACTCAGATGGTAGGAGTGACCAATCGACAAATCAGACACGTGCCACCTCTTCCTTTCTGTCTGCTGCTAAAAGGCCTCAAGATAAATGGAGACAGTAAGGAATGAAAGAAACAGCACAGGCTTGGGCCAGATGAGCAGGAATCCAAATATCAGCTCTGCCTGATATTTGGTGGCCTGGGGGTCACTTAACCTCTTTGGAACCCTGTTTTCTTATTTATCCATCCAATTATTCAATAAGTACTTTTTGAATATATCTATGTGCCAGGCTATGTTCTAAGTGCTTGGAATATCACAGAACAAAACGAACACACACTTATGCCCCTGTGGAGCTTACCTTCTGATGGTGGGAGAGAGACGATTTGAATTAAGCCTGATTCATAAGCAAACAATATGTTGTTTATATAGTGGGAATTCCAATGTCTAATGCCAGTGAGTTGCTGTGGTGATAATAAGCGACAATCCACATGGAATGCATGGGACATAGTACATTTAATAAACTGTTGTGATTATTCTTTTTAAAATTGCTCCCACATTTCTCAAACCCTTTTAACACTTAATGTGTACTTTGCACCTAGGTGTTGTTCATGTATTCGTTCAACAGACAGCTATCGAGCATCTATTATGTGCTAGACCCTGTACTAGGCACCAGGGATACAAAAGAACCCTGTAAGAGAGTGAGGCCCCTGCCCTTGACGATTTTACACCCCGACCCCTGGATCCAGAGGAGAAGCCTGGGAGAGCCCCGGGGCGGGGGTGGCCTTTGATCTTGTGTTCTAGTGAATCAGAACAGCCCACTTCCATGATGATGTCTTTTTTAACTCAAAGCATCCCAGCTATGGCTGGTGATTCTAGGAATGCCATGAACCAGGACATGGAGATTGGAGTCACTCCATGGGACCCCAAGAGAATTCCCAAACAGGCCCGCGAATACGTCCCCATTGCCACAGACCGCACGCGCCTGCTGGCCGAGGGCAAGAAGCCGCGCCAGCGCTACATGGAGAAGAGTGGCAAGTGCAACGTGCACCACGGCAACGTCCAGGAGACCTACCGGTACCTGAGTGACCTCTTCACCACCCTGGTGGACCTCAAGTGGCGTTTCAACCTGCTCGTCTTCACCATGGTTTACACCGTCACCTGGCTGTTCTTCGGCTTCATTTGGTGGCTCATTGCTTACATCCGGGGTGACCTGGACCATGTTGGTGACCAAGAGTGGATTCCTTGTGTTGAAAACCTCAGTGGCTTCGTGTCCGCTTTCCTGTTCTCCATTGAGACCGAAACAACCATTGGGTATGGCTTCCGAGTCATCACAGAGAAGTGTCCGGAGGGCATTATACTCCTCTTGGTTCAGGCCATCCTGGGCTCCATCGTCAATGCCTTCATGGTGGGGTGCATGTTTGTCAAGATCAGCCAGCCCAAGAAGAGAGCTGAGACTCTCATGTTTTCCAACAACGCGGTCATCTCCATGCGGGACGAGAAGCTGTGCCTCATGTTCCGGGTGGGTGACCTCCGCAACTCCCACATCGTAGAGGCCTCCATCCGAGCCAAGCTCATCAAGTCCCGGCAGACCAAAGAGGGGGAGTTCATCCCCCTGAACCAGACCGACATCAACGTGGGCTTCGACACGGGCGACGACCGCCTCTTCCTGGTGTCTCCTCTGATCATCTCCCACGAGATCAACGAGAAGAGCCCTTTCTGGGAGATGTCTCAGGCTCAGCTGCATCAGGAGGAGTTCGAAGTCGTGGTCATTCTAGAAGGGATGGTGGAAGCCACAGGTAAGGCACTTTGTCCTCCTTAGCCACAGATGGCCCTACTTACACTTCAGACTTAGACCACTGTGACCCAAGAAGATGCAGGTCTGTGCCTGAGAGTCCTGGGGTGGCACAGGCAACACGTTCAATCCCTAAATTGTGGTTTGAGTGGTACTGCTACTCAAGATGGAGTAATAGCAACAGCTAACACTGACAGGAGCTTCCCAACTTTCAGGCACTGTCCTAAACCATAAACATCTATCATTCGGCCAAATGTCCTCGCATGCCTTATAAGATAGTGGGGTTTTTTGTGATGTTGTTGTTGTTGTTGTTGTTTTGTTTGCTTGCTTGTTTGTTTTTGAGATAGGGTCTTGCTCTGTCACCCAGGCTACAGTGCAGTGGCCTGATCTTGGCTCACTGCAACCTCCACCTCCCGATTCAAGCAATTCTCCTGCCTCAGCCTCTGGAGTAGCTGGGATTACAGGTGCCCGCCACCGCGCCCAGCTAATTTTTGTATTTTTAGTACAGACAGGGTTTCACCATGTTGGCCAGGCTGGTGTTGAACTCCTGACCTTGTGATCCACCTGTCTTGGCCTCCCAAAGTGCTGGGATTACACGTGTGAGCCACAGTGCCCAGCTGAGATAGTTTTTATTAAGGTACAAATAAAGAAACAGGGACACAGACAGGCTAAATTATTTGCCCAAGAGCAAGCACTTTTGCGTGATAGAGCCAGGGTGGAAATTGAGGCAGGGGACCCCAGAGCCAGCACTTGTTTCCAACAGGCCAAACTGCCCCTTCTTGGAACAAGTGTTCTACCCAGAAGAGCTTGCTGCTCAGATAGCTCTGGTAATCACAGGGCGAAACAAAGACGAACTGGTTTCTTTACAGTGGACTAGTGGACTTCTCGCTCTCCTTACCCACTGAGTCTCATCACTGGGAAAGGAGAGGATGCAGAATTTCCTAAACTCAAAAGGGTTCTCACCAATCCTTTACTTGGAAAGAACTTTGCTGCAGGGGAGGGGCTCTTTTGGCTGGGCCCCCTCTGGAGCAGCCAGCCCTCAGCGTTGTTGCAGAAGGTTGGCTTAGTGAACCCAGGGCAGGCAAGGCTCCTTTCTCACAAAAAAAAAAAAACACCAGTGCATCCATACTGAGGCATCAACATCCACATATGCCCAAGAAAATGCCCTTTTTGTGGCCAGCATGGCACCTCCCTGCTCAGCTACTGACAAACTGGCAGCTGGTAACCAAGGACCCCCCCATTCCTCAGCCACTCAGCCACGGCAGACCTCTGTGAGGTGGCTCCAGGGATCCCAAGGCCTGGGACCGCCTGAGCTCTGGCTGAGAATCCTAGTCCCCACCCCACCCCCAGCAAAATCCGACATCCTGCGTATTTCGTTTCTTCCTCGTGCCTTCCTTTCTCTCTCTCTTTCTCTCTCTCTTTCTCTCTCTCTCTCTCTCTGTCTCTCTCTCCCTTTCTTTCCAACCAGGTACAATGAGCAGCTGGTCAGGCCCTAAGGATGGCTTCTAGAAACTCAATCACACTCAGAATTATGCATGTCTATTTTTCTAATTCTTGCAAACAACAGTGTAGAGCTGGCTTCAGTCTCATTTTACAGATGTCGAAGCTGAAGCTCAAAAGCATTATGTAGACAGTGAGTGCGCATATTCAGCTCTTCCACTTACAAATCTGGAGCTTCTCTCACCACTCTGCCCCCCTGAAATACTAGGGGCCTGTCAGAAAGATGGCCAAGCACGCCTTCCAGACCCCAGGCAGCTGGCTGCCGGGCAGGGGACTCAGACCCAGACTCCACAAGCCTTCCCATTTTGAAGTCAGTGGAACCAGGAGAGGGCAATGACAGGCTCCAGGGACTGGTGCCACAGAGGGCTGCTCGGCCATCTGCTGGGGGCTGGAGCCTGGCAGGCAGCATATGGTGGCAGGTGGGCAGCCCCTGGGGCCAAGGACAGTCAGGACGCAGGAAGCTTTCCCCTGCAGAGCTAGGGGCTTGCAGGTCACCCTGTCCTTGGCTCTAGGGTCAGAATCAGGACCCAGGCTGCATTTCAGGGGAAGAGCTCCACTCTGGAGTCACAAAAAAGGGATTGGGTGAGAGACATGGGGACAAATCATAGCATGCCTGACCACTCCCCAAGGCCGCCCTCACTCGCCAGCCACACAGCGGGGAGAGCGCCCACAGGCTCATAGTGGAGGGAACCAGTGCTATCTGCCCTGCTACACCCCCAGCCATGCCTCCCTCGAAGTCAGGGGCCCACCATTCACTTGTCCTCATGGTTTGTCCTCCTTCCCCTCCTACAACCTGGGCTATGCTTGCTCTGTCCCAGAAACTGTAGGGGAGATCCAGGGAGATAGGGCAGGAGACCCCGGCCCACATCTGTCCTGGATGTGGGTGGCTTGGTTGTCAGGCACATGCAGCCAGGTGTGGGCTGGGAATCCATGCCTCGGCTTGAGTAGCACAACTCTGCTGTATCCTGCCTGAGCGGGTCTGAGCCAGCTGCTTACCCTGTCAGCAGAGTGAGGAAAATCGATCTCCTAGGGCTGTTGGGAGGATTCAAGATGAAAAGGAGCACCCTGTGCTGAGCACTATACCTGACACCTGGAGAATCCTTTCCAAAGGCATCGAGCAGTGACAGGGACACAGCAGGATCTCTAGCTACAGGGCAGCTGCTACCACACCCCATGAGCAGCAGGAGGCGCCCAAAGGGGAAAGGTCCTGCCCACACCTTTCCCAAGGCCCTGGGGCCTGCAGACATCTGGCATAGTCTAGGCTGCTCAGGGCCCAGTTCGGGCCTCTGTGCCAAGGCTGTGGGGACAACAAGGGTGAGGACTGAAGGGAGAGGCCCGGCCCAGGCAGGCATCCCTGAGAGCAGAGGGCAGGCTGTGGGCCCACCTGTGTGGGTGCGCTGGGGCTGAGAAGCAGCCTTGGACCTGGGTCTGGTTTGTATGAGCCCCTCCCAGAGAAAACTCAAAGTGGGAGCTGGAGATGGTTGCCTTCAGCACCCAACCAGCACAGTTAATGCCTTCCTTGGCCAGAAGATTAAATATCAGAAAGTTGCTTTCCTGTGACCCTAAGCACAGAGGCCTCCTCATTCATAAACAAAGCTGCTCTCCTCTCTGGAGAGAAAGCAACACCTAAAAATAGCACAGGCATGGCATGGGCTGAGTAGACGGGAAGCGAGGCATTGGAGCAGCCTCAAATCAAGAAGTCAAGCTCTGTGTGTGCGTCTGCTCCTCTTCCTGTGTGTATGTGAGTGTGGAGCCCTCTCTCCATATGTGTCTACCCAAAACAATCCCCATATGTTCCAAATGCCTGTCAGCTTCTCCGTGTTCATTCACGCTGAATTTATCTTTGCTCTCTCCTGCCTTTTTCCCATCTCAATCTTCTAGACCTGAATGCTGTTTTCAGGAACCAAGTCCCTGCCTTCAACTGTTCCAACATCTATTCACTCCAATCTCTAGGAAATGACTTTCAGAATCTTGCATGTTGGTTTCTAATTTTCTGCCACCACCATGCCTTGAACTCCTCCAGGGCAAGGACGTGTCGTATTCAGCTTTACATCTCCACTGTGCTTAGCACAAAGCAGATGTTCATGAAATGGTTGATGAATGATTGAATGGATGAAGGAATGCATGAATGTATGGATGACTGGGTGGATGGATGATTGGATGGATGGGTGATTGGGTAGATGAGTGGATGGATGGATGGATGGGTGATAGGATAGATGGATAGATAATTGGAAGGATAGATGAATAAATAATTGGGTGGATAGATGGATGATGAATGATTGGATGGATGGATGGATGATTGGGTGGATGGACGGATGGATGATTGGATGGATGGATGGATGGATGGATGGATGGATAGATGATTGGATGGATGGATGGATGGATGGATGGATTGGATGGATGGATGGATGGATGGATGGATGGATGGATGGATGGATGGATGGATAGATGATTGGATGGATGGATGGATGGATAGATAGATGATTGGATGGATGGATGGATGGATGGATGGATGGATGGATGGATGGATGGATGAATAGATGGATGGATGATTGCATCATAATGCATGTAACTTCTGTTTTCCCAGGCATGACCTGCCAAGCCCGGAGCTCCTACATGGATACAGAGGTGCTCTGGGGCCACCGATTCACACCAGTCCTCACTTTGGAAAAGGGCTTTTATGAGGTGGACTACAACACCTTCCACGACACCTATGAGACCAACACACCCAGCTGCTGTGCCAAGGAGCTGGCAGAAATGAAGCGGGAAGGCCGGCTCCTCCAGTACCTCCCCAGCCCCCCGCTGCTGGGGGGCTGTGCTGAGGCAGGGCTGGATGCAGAGGCTGAGCAGAATGAAGACGATGAGCCCAAGAGGCTAGGTGGGTCCAGGGAGGCCAGGGGCTCGGTGTGAGGGCTGCAGCCTCCCTAAGACCTCCTGTCACTGGCTTCAGTGAGCACAGGCACTGCAGAGCCTGGGATCAGGGGAGGGGAATAGTTGAGTGTGCTGTTTGGGAGCTCAGAAGCCATCAAGGCTGTGAGGAGGAACCATATACCCAGCCCCCACAGCTCCCAGCACAGGGCCTCCCTGAGCCAGTGGCATCCTTCCTGGGCCCCCCATGGCAGTGCTGCCTCTTGTGGGTGCTGGCTAAGGGCCAGGCCAGGATGAGTTTCCCCATGGTGAATGTTACAAGGTGGCATCTGTTCTCTCCCTGCCCTGGGTCACTTCCTTTTTTGGGTCTCACAGACCCTCCAGGGGCTGACACCTAGAGAGAGCCATCACCTTGTCCTCTCATTCCTTCCACCATGAGGCTTGCTGTGGATTCAGAGAGGAGCCTTGCCTGATGGGAGCTCAAACCTCTAGTCTGGGATGAGCTCACAGAGTCCTCATGGGTTAAGGTCCATCCGTGTCACATAGGCAATTCCTTTTAAATCAGATACTGATGACCCATTACTGAGAGCTACAGAGCATACAGCCCTTGGTGTTCTCCACTACTATCTGCCAAGTGTGTGCTTTTCCTCTGCTGTGTTCTGTGTGTCCAATGTAACCTACTGGAGAATCGATCTCATTAGAGTGACTCTTAGAAGGTGGCCTGGGACTAGACAGCCCCTCTGAGCACAAGCATAGTGGCATCAGCAGCTTCCTGGCCTACTCCCAATCACTCTGTGCCCTGCACCTCCCACCAAGGGGAACCCCAGCAGCTGGGGCTTTTCTAGTGCTTTTTGGCCCAAGAATCTCAGAGTGCTTCTAATCATTACAGTAGTTTTTTTGTTTTGTTTTGTTTTTTTCACAATCTCAGTGAGCCTGTGGTGTGACCTGGGGAGAAAGCTGAGTGTCAGGGGGCATGATGAGCCAGTTGGCCCTGAAACAGGAATGGGGCAAAGAGAAAGGAGAGCCAGGAGCATTTAAAAATCAGCATCTGGGCAGAGTGCGATGGCTTACACCTGCAATCCCAGCACTTTGGGAGGGCAAGTCAGGCAGATCATGAGGTCAGGAGATCGAGACCATCCCAGCTAACACAGTGAAACCCCGTCTCTACTAAAAAAATATAAAAAATTAGCCGGGCGTGGTGGCAGGCGCCTGTAGTCCCAGCTACTCAGGAGGCTGAGGCAGGAGAATGGTGTGAACCTGGGAGGCGGAGCTTGCAGTGAGCCGAGATTGTGCCACTGCACTCCAGCCTGGGCGACAGACTCCATCAAAAGAAAAAAAAAAAAAATCAGCATCTGCCCCAATTGTGGCTGAGACACTCTGCCACAGGGCTCAGCACCTTTGCCATCAAGGCAGATGACGGGATGTGAATCAAAAGTGAGAGGTGACTGCAGTGACAGCTTCACCATCAAGCTCAGCCTGGACCAAGCTCCCAGCCCGGTGCTGCAAAGCCCCTGGGCCTCCCTCTGCAGGCAGAGCTACAACCAGGAGGGCTGGGCAGGGAGGATGCCCTGGGAAGGCGAAGGGAGTGGCTGCCCCTCCCAGGCTGGAAACAACAGGGCAAGGGGGTCAGCAGGAGAATTCAGGGACACGGTGAGTGTTAAGAGAAAAAGAGTAGAGAAGAGCCTGAAAATCACCAACCTCCAGGATTTTCTGCTCTGGAGGCCCAGTAAGAGCAAGGGTGGAGGGGGGCAGATTGTCAGGTCCCGGAATGCATGTTGACACACACAGGCTTCAGGTTAGCTGGCCTGACATGGGGAGAGAGTGCCAATGTTCCCAAGCCACAGAATTACGGAGGCCTCACCCAGTTTTCACAGCTCTCAACTGGCCTTTGAGAATGGAAGCCTTTTCCTGCCCTGGTTATGGCACTTCTTCCCGGGAGAGAAGCAGAGCCACAGAGTGGTAGGAAGTTGAGGCAGAGCAAAGGGAAGACTTCAGAGCTCAGGCCCGGTTCATCTCAGATGCGTTTTCTAGGCCTGGGCTGGAAGGGAGTGGGCCAGCCTGGGATGGGAACTGCCTCTGTGGTCTGCGCACTGCCAGGAGGGGCTCCCAGAGCTTTGCTCCTGGGCTGGATCTTGAGAGGTGCGCAGGGTGCCATGGCCAAATGAGGTCTTCCCACCAGTGGCAGGGCGTGGAGTTGTGGTCCCAGGCATCCATCTTGGGGAAGCAGGCCTTGGAGGGAACGGGGAATGGGCTGGCACCCCACTTAGGGGAAGCAGACGGTGCCCCAGCAGGGGAGCTGCATGCCCCCAGGAGTCTCAGACAGGCAGCTCATCACCAAGGCTGGGTGCCTTTTGGCGGAGCTACAGCTGGAACCCTCTGGCTGAGGCCAGCACTCCCCCGGGGCTCCCTGGACCCCAGGGTTATTAACAGCAAAACCATTCCACACCCCCTTGCTGGATCTAAGCCTGTCTTAGGACCAGTCAGTGCCCCCAGGTTAGAGCCCATGGGGGTCAACTAAGCAAGGGAGGGGAGGTGAAGGCAAAGCCAGCCTTGCACCCAGATAGCAGCCTGGCTCCTCCCCACACCTGCCTTCATTTATGACTGAAACATCACCCAACTGACCAAGGGAGCCACTCTCCAGTTCTCTCATTCCATCAGGGCCCTCCATGAGCCAGGACCAGGTCACATCTCTCAGCCAAGTCTAGAAGCTCTGGGTAGAGGAGAGGAAGTGTGCAGAGGGTCCTTAGCCAAAACTCCCTGCCTGGCCCGAGCCTGGGCATAGTGGGATTAGTGCAACACTGCCCCAGTGTGCCTCCTCTGCCTTCTACCATGCCAATTTAAAAGCAAGAAGACCCCCTTCACATCCCGAGGAAATCTCCTTCCTGGTGACCAGTCGAAGCAATGAAAGTTTGAAAAGTTCTTCATTTTCTAGAAGTTCTTGAATAAACATGGACTTACTAAATGCAGAGTCTGATGATGGACAGAGTTTCAAGGGGTCACTTTCAAAATATTTAATTAATTTATTTATGTAGAGATAGGGTCTTGCTCTGTTGCCGAGGCTGGAGTGCAGTGGTACAACCTCAGCTCACTGCAAATTCTGCCACCTCCCCGGATCAAGCGATTCTCATGCTTCAACCTCCCGAGTAGGTGGGATTCAGGCATGAGCCACCGCGCCCAGCCATTTTCAAAACATTGCTCCCTCATACGAACCACTCAGAGGCCACAGCCCTTGGTTCTGTGAAGGCTCTGAGCCCACGCCATCACATCTGATGGACCCCAGAGGGCTGACCCCGCTTTAAGATGGGGTCGTGCACTGGTCATTGCCACAGTCTTGAGTATCTCCAAAATCCCAAAGTGATAGATATTTCACTTTCGGATGCTGAAAGTTTGGAGAGCTGGTTTCTTGCCTTAACTGAAGCTCTCTGAGAATGTCCCCTGTAGGGAGAAGCCTCCAAGAACTCAGAAGAGAACCGTTCCCACTTGTTTTCCTTGCTCCACCAATCTGATGCCTGACAGATGTCACCACTGCCTAAAGGATCCTGTCCCCAGGCCAGGGCAGAATGAGCATTGCCCGTGACTCTCCCCTTCAGACTTCCCTCCCACCGGCCTCCTGTGTAGTCAGAGAGCCCACCGCCCATCACCTCCTGCTTCTGCTTTGAGGTTGAGGTCCTGGCCTGAGCAGTTACCTTGCTGGAGGAGAAGAGCCCCTGCCGTCTGGGGAGCACTGTCCCTGCTCGTGATCTATAACAGTGGGGCATCTTTTTCACACCCCTTATCTCATGGCTTGCCTTCCAGCCCCCATCGATCCTATGCCTCATGTGAGGTGAGCCCCAGAGAAACTTAAATTGCTTGTACTGAAGTTGCCAAAAACCAAAGTTGCCCACTGTCTTTTAACTGAAACACCTCTGCCCGTGCATCATGGAGCACGTGTTAGGTGCCCGCCGTGGGTCAGGCACTTGATTCTCAAAACACTGCCAAGAAGCTCTTACCAACGTGACAGTTGAGGCTCAGAGAGGTTCATGAGCTTGCTTAAGGCTACGGGTAGTAATAAGAGGCATGGCCTTGGTGCCAAGCGCCTCCCAAACAAACAGCAGGGGCCGTGATCCTGCCTAAACTCTCGCATCCACGGCACCTCTCTGGACCCAGGCAACAGAGATAAGGAGAGCCCTGGCTCTTGGGAAGGCATCGTGCGATTCACCTGCTGTGCCGCAGAGCCCCGGCTTTCACCCAGGATGTGCCCCTGTGGCAGGATAATTGAGAAACAACCTTTTTCTGATTCCCAGAGAACTAATGAGCTGCAAAAAGAGATTAGACAGAGAAGAATTGCTTTCGGGGAGAAGCCACTTACTCGGCTCGCCTTGGTTTTTGCTAACAACGTCTCCTTAAACTGCTGTCAAATCTTTTTCTCCCTGTGTAGGATTCATCAATCTTCATATGAAAAAGAACACCACTGCACTGCTAAAAATTCACACAATAAAATGGACTTGACCTTGCAGAACTCTTTCTCATTTTAAACAGACGGCCACTAGTTGCCCATGTAAACTCATTGCCAGTTGTAGAAACCTTGTCCTTCTTGGTTTTGTTAGCCTAAAAATGTAGTATCAACATCTAGACCACTGGTTTTGAGGTGGGAGAATGGGCAAAGGTGGGGAGGAGACAGCCGGATAGGGGCAGCTGCACCAGGTGTCTGGAGGCAGAGCTGGCGGCAGATGCGGAGGGTGCGGGCAGCAAGGGTTCTCACACTAAGTCATTCATGCCACCCCCAAATAACTTCTGTACATTCTTTAATGTCAAATATTCAGAACCCACATTACCTATGTAATGAGTAATTCTAAAAATACCTACTTTAGGGGCCCCTTGGACTAGCATTCTGCTGTCAGGGCATACATCTGCAAAAGGATCGTTCTCGCTGAACAGTGGGAAAGGGGCAGAGGAGGCTGTGATTTCTAATGTTGGCAAAAGGTCTCAGGATCTTTCAAGAGAAGTCCCAAAGCTTCTGTTGAAAATGTCATTAGCAGAAGAGGATGTAAGATTCACTTCTCTTCTGCTCTGGTCACCCAGTGGCAATATTGAAGAGCCGAGATTTACAGAAAATCCCTCACGTACACCAACACCAATGCTCACCAGGGCTCCGATTCAAAATGAGAAGCAGTATTTTCAGAGGAGAAAGGCAGCACAGCTCTGATGTGCGTGGGAGCGCTTCCCATATCTGGCCCCATGGCCCCGCCACGGTAGCCGGGCATCAGCAAATCTGTGTGGGGCTTGGGCCAAAAGCACGTGCTGAGCCTCAAAATCAGCCATGAACAAAAGTACCTGGTGACTCTGAGGGTGAATTGCCTTTACGTTGGGAAAGACCCATGCAAAGGCCAGGAGCTCTGGGAATGGCCCTTGCCTGGGGATTGCACTACAGTTACTGTTCAGGGTCAGAATGGAGACATGAGGTCGGGGAAACGATGAATCTGTGAATTTGCACATTTGTCAGTCAAGCTCGGATTGCAATTTGAGGAAGGAGAACTAGACCCATAATCTAATAAAAGCAACTATCTGAAAGTAACCCTTAGAAAACCCACCCGGGCCCAGCCGAGCATGGTGACTCATGCCTGTAATCCCAGCACTTTGGGAGGCCGAGGCAGGCGGATCACGAGGTCAGATTGAGACCATCCTAGCTAACACGGTGAAACCCCATCTCTACTAAAAATACAAAAAAAAATTAGCCGGGCGTGGTGGTGGGCGCCTGTAGTCCCAGCTATTCGGAGGCTGAGGCAGGAGAATGGCGTGAACCTGAGAGGCGAAGCTTGCAGTGAGCCGAGATCGAGATCACGCCACTGCACTCCAGCCTGGGTGACAGAGCGAGACTCCGTCTCAAAAAAAAAAAAAAAAGAAAAAAGAAAACTCACCCGGGCCCAGAAGATGCTGGTTCCAGTCAGAAGAAGACCAACACCAACGCGTGCATAGCAGATGTCTCCTTAGGCCTTGTTAGATCCCAGTGATAAAGCGTGCCGACTTTCTTATGGTAAATAAATGTCTAGGAAGGAGTTTTGAAAACAGAAACATTGCTGACTTTTTCTCTGAGTATTTACGTTGATTCAGAAGCTGCTATTCAAATAACCTTGACTCACTTGGTGGAGGCAAAAATCCTAAATCCCAGAGGAGAAATTACTGAGAATTTGGGCAGATTAACATATACTTAGAGCTTCATTTTTCTACCAAGTAAGCAAAAGTGTAAGTGGAGCAATCCTCGGCTGCGCTGGGTGAGGCTGCAGCAGGGAGCGAGGAAGAGGAGATGACGTGTAGCTTCACTGAGAACTCCTGTGCATGTGCCCACTGGATGCCACATTCCAAATCACCTCTATTTTTTATTTATTTATTTATTTATTTATTTGTTTGTTTGTTTGTTTGTTTGTTTTGAGACAGAGTCTCGCTCTGTTGCCCACGCTGGAGTGCAATGGCACAATCTCGGCTCACTGCAACCCCTGCCTGCTGGGTTCAAGCAATTCTCTTGCCTCAGCCTCCCGAGTAGCTGGGATTACAGGCGCCCACCACCACGCCCAGCCAATTTTTTGTATTTTTAGTAGAGATGGGGTTTCCCCATGTTGGCCAGGCTGGTCTTGAGCTCCTGACCTCAGGTGATCCACCTGCCTTGGCCTCCCAAAGTGCTAGGATTACAGGAGTGAGCCACTACACCCAGTCCCCAAGTCCCCTCTTAAATAAACATGCTCATGGAAGAGACTGCAGCCAGCTCTGTGTGATCTGAAGCTTCCAGGCAATAACCATTTCCTCGCCTTACCATGTAGTTACCTGGGGAAGTGGGAAGGCATGATCACTCAGGAATGCACCCACCTTCTCTCTCCCTACAGAGGAGAGCCCGCTTGCTCTGGCTCATGGAAACAGCTAAGAAAGGGGGAAGAGCATTTGCTGAACCCAGACTGTGCCCTGATGGATGAGAGTGTGGCTGTTTAATCTCCTGGTGTCTTTCCCATTCAATAAATGCACTGGGAGAGGCTTCACACTCCTCCTCTTCAGATGAAGCACCCCATGGACACACCCTGTCTTTGAATATAAGATAAAATCCTGCAGGGAAGCTGCTCCTGTTTAGGTCTCCCAGAACCCCACAGCAGCAGCAGTACCTGGGCATTAGTCCAGGAGCTGACCATCCTGACCATTCCCTTTGGCATTGGTGAAGCTTTGCAGGGCTTTCCAACAACCATCTCATTGTGGCAAAGAATTAAAATGACATCTCAGAAAGCACAGAGCCAACTCCACACAACGTCTGAAGCATCTCTGACTTTTCATTACTTCAATTCTCCCACACATCTATTATTCAGCATATATTTAGTGAGCACCTACTATGTGCCCAGAGCAGGAACAGGCACCGCACACTCAGTGGTGATAAGACTGTCTTAGTCCACTGGGGCTGCATTACAGAAATACCTTAGAGTGAAAGAACAGAGACTTTCTGCTCACAGTTCTGAAGGCTGCGAAGTCCAAGATCAAGATCAGTCCGGCAGCAGATCAGGTGTCTGGTGAGGGCCTGTTCCTCACAGACGGTGCCTTACATGTGTCCTCACTTGGTGGAAGGGGCCAACAGGCTCCTTGAAGCCGCTTTCATAAGGGCACTCATCCATCACGAGGATCCTCTCCCATGACCTCATCACTGCCCAAAGGCTCCGCCTCCTAATGTCGTTACCTAAGGGGTTAGGTTTCAACAAAGGAATTTTAAGGGGAGATAAATATTTAGACCAGAACAGAGACAATATGATTTTTTGCCCTCATGAAATTTTCTGTCTGGTGGGGAGGGGGAGAGACAGAGACAGAAAATATACACAAATCAAAGAATTCCAGTTCTCAATAAGGGCTATGAGGGAAACTAACAGGGGGCTGAGGTCAGGAACAGCAGGGCTGCCCCTGGGGAGGCCACAGGGACTGAGGCTCTGAGGGGGGCCCGGAAGCTGAGCCTTGAAACAGGAGCAGGAATGAGCTCCTCCCGCAAGGGCTCTGGGGGATCAGCTGTGTGTAAAGGTCCTGGGGTGGAAGGGGCAGCTGTATCCAAAGAACTGAAAAGAGCCCAGGGAAGCAGCAGCCTTGGGAAAGGGGAGCGGGGAGTCAGCGCACACCTGGCTGGGAGCTAGGGCTGAGTTCAGATCTCATGCCAAGTTCAGGGGAAAGCGCACCAAGAGGCTTATCTGGGGTGACCTGCTGTGAGTCCACCCTGAGATGGTGTGACCCTTCCTTTGTCCTGGAGGTCACAGGTCATCAGCCACATTGGGGCACAGTCTGAACAGCTCTGTCTGGCTGTCCTTAACCCTGTCCTTTAAGGTCTAAACGCCACAGGTCAGTCTAAGTTCTCTTCATAAATATTTCCAAGTTGTAAACCCAGGAGTATTTCTGAGTCATCCTGGACAAATCCCTCCTAACTATTACTGCACACGCCCTCTGTGTCAGAAGCTGGTCAGACTGTTCGAGGACCCTTCCCAGTGCCAGGGTCCACGGCCCACATCACTTGCTCCATTTCCCGCCTGTCTGCAGCTGGGGAACGAGCTCAGCCACCCACCTACGTGGGCTGCCAGGCGGCATGCAGACTCCTTACCAACATGGAGAAGGCTTCCAGCGCACAGCCCTGACCTTGAGAGCTGGCTCCACATGCATTTCAAATAGGCAGCATCCGAAAGAGAAAACCAGCCTCTTTTCAAGGCCCTTAAAGTGTTCATCTTAAAAGGGAAATTGCATTACACAAAGCACTGCTCATGCATCTGACATTTGTACATCTGGAAAACTGGGATTGCTTTATGTGGTGTCCAGTGAAATCTAGCTCCCCCTCTGCCTCCCACCCTCTCCCTTTCATGATCCTCTTCCCAGCTCCAATCCTGGACTCCCTGGGCCCTGCCCTCCACCTGCAGTCCTCCTACCTTCCATGCATAATGCCCCATTCCACTGCCATGTTAACTATCCTCCTCTGTGTATGAAAATCAGATTGTGGCTGGGTGCAGTGTCTCATGTGTGTCATCCCAGCACTTTGGGAGGTCAAGGTAGGCAGATCATGAGGTCAGGAGATCGAGACCATCCTGACCAACATGGTGAAACCCCGTCTGTACTAAAATATAAAAAATTAGCCAGGCATGGTGGCATGCGCCTGTAGTCCCAGCTACTCGGGAGGCTGAGGCAGGGGAATCGCTTGAACCTGGAAGACGGAGGTTGCAGTGAGCTGAGATCACGCCACTGCACTCCAGCTTGGGTGACAGAACAAGACTCTGACTCAAAAAAAAAGAAAAAAAAAAGAAAGAAAAGAAAATCAGATTGTTCCTTTAAAAAACAAAAACTAGCAAACAAACAAAACCCTTTCAGGGTGGAGGGATTTGGGAGTTGATTCTTTACATGTAGAATGAGGGTGTTCCTAGATGCCTTTCCGGGCCATCGTTTTAGGCTAGATGTATACTCAGCAAACATTTGCCAAGCCCCTTCTGTGTCCCGAGCGTCCCGCCAGGACCTGGGGAAACCAAGCTGACTCAGTCCCTGCCCTTTGGGAGCCCACAGCCAGGTTGGAAGGAGGGTTCTGCACTGATTACTCTGATTCATTGCATAGAATAATTTTTGTTGGTTTAAAAACGTCATTCTATTTTATAAAGACAAATGTCCGTGTTGTTGGACAAGAACCAAGAACCAAGTTCTTGGACAAGAGGCAAGAACTTGGTAAAAACACATGGACACATTCATTTAAAAAAAAATTAGTGAAAGAAGAGACTAAACATGCAGGTTTTGTCAACAAAAGCAATGATTTTCCATCAAATCAGCATTAAGGATTTACACATGTAAAATGTGCCATCAAAAGACAGTGCCAATTCCAGGCAGAACCTTCATCCTCTCCACAGCCAGGGCTTGCAGAGCACGCTCTGTAGGGGACTTCTCCTGAATCTCGGGAACCCGCCGTGCCCAGCCCCCTGCCCGGGGCCTTCCTTGCCCACTGCGCGCGGAGGCCTGTCTGCAGAGAGCTCTTCTGGGACTCCTGAGGGTTTCCACTGGGCTCCTCCAGGATGCACAGGCATCCCTCTTTCTTAGGTTACAGTGAACACAGTTCCCAAGAGTTCTTTCATGCTCCAAGTGTTAAAAAAAGAAACAGAAATGAAAAGGAATCGTGGCCCTTCATCCTGCCAACCTAAGAGAAACCCCTGCGGACCTGAGAGGCACCTGCATCCCGCTCCTGTGCCCTCTGCCCCACCCCGCCGGCCCCCTGCACCCTCTTAGCCACATTCCTGCCAGAGGCCCGCAGGGAACAGCACTTGCCAACTGGCCACACAGGACAGGGGCTCCAAAGGGACAGGAGAAGTCATGGGGGGGCCAGCTGGGTGAGAAGTGATGGCCACTTGGACCGAGGAGGCAGTGGAGCTACAGATACGTAGATGGATTTGACATTTTCGGGGCAATAATTTGCAGAATGATCGGAACGAGGCAAAGGGGAGTGTTATGTAGGAACCAGGGCCTCTGGCTTGCAGAAGCAAATGGACGGGGGCTGCCCAATCCCTGAGCCCAGCTGCCCTGGAGTAGAATCTAATTCAGAGGGGTTGGAAAGAGAATGGCGTGAGTTTGGCTTTGAGCCAAGCCCCTGCATTTGCATGTTTGCATCTGAGGACCCTCAAAAGCCAGCATTTGCATATACCTAGACCTCTGAAGACAGAACAGTGAAAGTCCTAAGTTTGGGAGTCATTGGGCTGTAAGTGGGACCTGAAGCTGAGTTCCTAGCTAAGATTGTCCTCGAAGGAAGCAGAGCATGGACAGAGAGGCAGGCTAGGACTGACGCTTGAGGAGCTCACTCATTGAATGGGCAGACGCTGGAGAGGAGGATGCTCTGTCCATTCAAATGCTCTGTCCATTTGCTTCTGCAAGTCAGAGGCCCTGGTTCCTCCCTAACACTCCTCCCTGCCTCGATCCGATCATTCTGCGAATTACTGATTTTAGACTCTCAAATCCCCATGGCCCCGGCCTTCAAGCACTCTCTAGGTGTTGTTAACCTGGCAAGACTCTCGCAGGGACCATCACAACTGTTGCTTCCATGGTCCCTGTGATTCCGGAGGATGCTGAGCAAGGAGCCCACAGAGGGGTCATCAGGTGGGAACATGCCAGGGCAAGCCTGAGGCTGCGCAGGTTTATGTGCCTCCTGAGCAGAGCACCCCTTACCATCCTCACCGCAACCCATCTGCTCCCCGCAGACCCACCATCACCAAGGATGGCCAAAGGACCTCTCCTGCAGCCCTGGGCTTCACCGACGCTGCTTTGCTTCCCTCTGAGTGCGGCCATGTCGCTTGTTGGCTTGCTTGTCACAGGATCTGGGCTGCTCTGACTTCCTCCTAATTAGCTCTTTTCATGTTGTAGCTTTGCAGTTTCTCTTGATTTCCACTGCCCATTTAAATGCCTTATTTTCATTTTTGAAGCATTCCTTTAAACGTCCTGTCACCTCGTTGGTTTCTATTGTGATATCTGACAGGTAGCTGGCTTAAAAGAGTGAATTTCCATATTCTCCTTACAGATTTGCATTTTCCCATCTGCTGGAGAAAAGACAGTTGAATCAGTGAAATAGCTGGTGGGCAGAAAGGTGCATGGAAGGAAACAACTGGCTCCTTTTGCAATATGAGACCTCAGGGAGGAAAATCTCAGAAGTCAGCTGTGGGGGAAGAACTTCGTAGTTAATATAAACTTTGATTCCTACATCACTGCCACCCAGTGCACCCCATAGCCCTTAATTTGTATTTGACTCTGCCTAGCATAGCCGATTCTGGAAGATAATTCATAAGCAGCTTTGGTTGTAGTTTCAGTGACATGTCCCATGTGGTACCACTTCATCTTATTTGCTACAGGATGGTCCGTGCATCTGATGAGTCAGTGCTCATCACTTCCAGGTGCCCCTCCCTCCTTACCCTGCCTTTCTAGAGAAAGCTTTCAGTTTCTTTAGCAAAACCCTTCAGCCTAGTTTCACAGACACGTCCGGCAGACTGTGACATTTTCACTCACACATCTACAACACACACACACAGACATGCCCCCTCCGAGATTCATAGCAGTACATTCATAATTCTACAGCTCATTTCTTTCTCACTGACCTGCGAGTGGATTACGATCACCTTTGCCTTATTCGCTAATTTACAATTAGAGTTATACGTGGAAAACCATACACGCCATATTAATATGCTACCCTTGCATAAGCATATAATCTTCAAACACCACCCAGATGGAGAGCCGCAAGCATTTTCAGCTGCACTTCAAGTGTCCACGCCATCTTGAAAGAAAAAAAGCCTTTTTTTTTTTTTTTTTTGAGACACAGTCTCACTCTGTCACCCAGGCTGGAGTACAGTGGTGAGATCTCAGCCCACTGCAACCTCCGACTCCCGGGTTTCAAGCGATTCTCCTGCCTCAGCCTCCCGAGTAGCTGGGATGACAGGCACCCACCACCACACCCAGCTAATTTTTGTATTTTCAGACGAGATGGGGTTTCACCATATTGACCAGGCTGGTCTTGAGCTCCCGACCTCGAGTGATTCCCCTGTCTCAGTCTCCCAAAGGGCTGGGATTAGAGGTGTGAGCCACCGTGCCCGGCCAAAAAAGCCTTTTCAATCGGACAGAGCCAGATTCAACCTCTGAGTCTCTTTCTCTGCAGCACACGGGTCACCCCCTCGTGGACTATGACAGAATTAAATAAGAGTTCATGGGCTCGGCCTTACTCAAAGTGGCATCCCTGTAAACATTAACTCCTTCCCCCTTTACATGGGGGCCACGTGAGGAGAGAGGCCACATCACTTCCACCCTCGTCCTCCTTTGTGTCACCGTCCCCGTGTCTTCCTCTCATCCCTGGCTTTCCAAGAACCTGGTGGGCCAAGCTGGCCAGGCATCTTCTCCAGCACCAGTCAGCTGTGCACTTGTTGGTGTTGCTCTGAGAGGGCCTTTCCCCTGAGGGGAGACCCCCACACTCTCCCAGAACACTCCCTCCTCCTCCTTCTTGACAACTCACCCAACCTCATCCTGCATTGATTTGCTGAGCACGTACTAAGCACCTGGCTGCCCTGTGCCCAGTGCTGCCACACCAGGTCCTGGCTCGGGGGCTCCTGGTAGGCACCCGAGTCAGAGCCGGCCATGCTGCCCACATGCCCCATGCAGGATGCTGGGCCAAGGGCCCATCCTGGCTAACAAGGTTCAGTTCCCTTCTGACCCCGTACATGAGAGGTCAGATGAGTGACCTTTCTAGAAAAGCGAGCTCCCCCTGCCCCCTTGGCTTGTGAGGTTTGTTGGTGGGGGAGGGATCCTGCTTTCACATGGGGAAGGGACCCGCCAGAACCTTTAGCAATGGGATTCTCTGCCTACTTGCGTGGGCCCTCAGTGGAGCCACTGCTCATGAAGCAGACAGCTGCTTTGCGGTGACGAATGCACTTCCGATCTGAGGGAGACATGTGGCATTAGTCACAGTGGAAGGCTATAGCCTGTTCATCTATAGCAGAAGCGCCCCCGGAGAATTATTTGCCAGGTCATACAGCAAAACAATGACCTCAGCCCCCTGGGCGCTGCAGCCTGCGAGCAGCTGGGCGTGTGTCCTGAGAGCTGAGCAGGCCCTCGGAGGGCCAGCTGCCCTGGCACCTGAAGCACTTCCTGAGGAGAGCAAGGAACAAGAGAGTGCGTTTGGAGGTCAGATTTGGAACTTACTGTCTAGATAATTCCCCCTCCTGCTCCCCGCTCCCATCCCTTCTTCTCACCACCCTCCCTGGAGGTACAAGGAGAAAACTGCCACTGAGAAGGAGGCCGGGGGTTAAGGAAGCCAGGGGTTAGGGAGGCCAGGGGTTAGGGAGGCCGAGGGTTAGGGAGGCCAGGGATTAGGGAGGCTGAGGGTTAGGAAGGCAGGGGGTTAGGGAGGCTGGGGGTTAGGGAGGCTGGGGGTTAGGGAGGCTGGGGGTTAGGGAGGCAGGGCATTAGGGAGGCAGGGGTTATTGAGGCAGGGATTAGGGAGGGCAGTGGTTCTGGAGGGCAGGGATTGTAAACCTGGCACTCGCTACTCCCTCTCCATCCCAACCAGGTGTTCCTATCTCTGCCTGGCTCCTTCCTGGCCCGCTCTTCCTGTCAGATGGAGTGGATTTTCTCTACCCTCCCTCAACCTCTATGTATGTGTTGGACATTGGTTTTTGTCTTCTGCTCTGGACTGAATGTTTGTGTCCCCCAACCCCAATTCCCATGTTGAAACCCTAACCCCAGTGTGATGGGATCTGGGGGTGGGGCCTTTGGGAAGGGATTAGCCTTAGATGAGGTCAGGAGGGTGGGGCCCTGGGAGTGGGATTAGTGCCTTCATGAAAAGAGGAAGAGGCCGGGCATGGTGGCTCATGCCAGTCATCCCAGCACTTTGGGAGGCCGAGATGGGCAAATACTGGAGCTCAGAGGTTCAAGACCAGCTTGGGCATCATAGCAAAACCCCATCTCTACAAAAAATACAAAAGTTAGCCTGGTGTGTTGGCACACATCTGTAGTCCCAGCTACTCGGGAGGCTGAGGCAGGAGAATTGCTTGAGTCCGGGAAGTCCTGGCACCTCAGTCTGGGTGACAGAGTGAGACTCTGTCTCAAAAAAAAAAGAACCAAGAAGAGACAGAAGATTCTTCTGTCTTTGCGTCACGTGAGGATACAAGGAGAGGCTGGGTTTCTGCAAACCAGGTTGTGAACCTTCACACGACATCAGATCTGCTGGCACCCGCATCATGGGCTTCCCAGCCCCCAGAGCTGTGAGAAATAAATGTTTGTTGATGAAGCCACTCCACCTATGGTGTTCTGTGATACAGCCCAAGCTGACTAAGAGAACTTCCAAGGAGAGGCAGCAGAGCATTCCTGGGGGCATGTGGCCAACCCCTGTGCTCTCCAGGCACACATGATCTTCCTCCACGTCTCCACCTGTCGAGCTTATAGCCTGCAGGGTTGACAGCTGCTCCTCCTTCCCCTGCAGCATCCACGGAAGACCCCCTGTGCATACACCACATCTCAGTAGAGGCCGCCACGCTGCATCGCTCTCATTGCCTTGAGAGGGGTGCTAGCTCCTGGAAGTAGAGCTGCCAGATTTAACAAATACAAACACAGGCTTCCCAGCTCCTTTGAAATTTCAGATGATCACTGACTACTGTTGGAACGTAAGTGTGTGCCACGCAGTTCTGGGGACACACTTACACTGAAAAGTTTTATGTTGTTTACCTGCAATTCAATGGAATTAGGTGTGCTGTATGTTTATTTGATGAAGTGGGACCTGTGCCCACTTCAGTCCATCTGATCACTGGGAGGGAGCCGGTTGACAGTTTCTGCCCTCAGGCTGTCACTACAAGGGGGAAATGATAGGACAAATTGATCAGCACATTAGACTGTTAATAACTCAAAAGGTTCTGGCTTGTGAGTCAGAGCAGCCATCACAGAGCCTGAGCCCAGAGGGGTGACTGTCTATCTCACACTCGGTTTCCTCACCTCTGCAACGCAGGCATTTAACCAGATGACCCTCAACACCCCTCAGTGCTGACATCCGGAGCCTCCTTGTGGAGCTGTTGTCAGAGTTTGGAATGTGTGAGTGTGACCTAGTCTGCTGGGTGCAGACGTGAAGATCCAGTATGTCTGATGTGGGCCCCGGAGTCTGCATTTAAACATGCATCTTGACCAGGTGTGGTGGCTTACACCTGTAATCCCAGCATGTTGGGAGGTCAAGGCCCGTGGATCACTTAAGGTCAGGAGTTCAAGACCAGCTGGCCAACATGGTGAAACATCGTCTCTACTAAAAAAAACACAAAAATTAGCTGGGCACCTGTAGTCCCAGCTACTCAGGAGGCTGAGGCAGGAGAATCGCTTGAACCCGGGAGGTGGAGGTTGCAGTGAACTGAACTGAGATCACGCCATTACACTCCAGCTTGGGCAACAGAGCGAGACTCAGTCTCAAAAAAAAAAACAAAAAAAAAACCAGTGCATCCTCTGCCATTCAGATGTTGATGATCTGAAAAGGATAGTTTGGGATATGCTGGTCTTGCGTTTATCCTCCGCGGCAGGGTGTGTGTGTGTGTGCGTCCATAGGGGCTGCTTCATTTTAAAAACAGACCCCCAGGGTGAAAATGCAACCTAACCCTAGTGAAAGGCTATCAGGAATCATTGTGAGGCCCCCCCATGCTCGGAGCTTCCCCAGGTCCCTCTGATCTCCTTGTCCACTCACCTGTCACCATCTGTGGATCTGGGTGGGGGCTCCCTGCCCTACCGCATGGATGGCGCAGCCCAAGCAGCATCTGCGCAGAATGCGGCTGCAGAAGTGAAAACTCAGCTCTGTCCCCAAACAGACAGGCGGGCACAACATGGTAGCCTGGCCCTGGGTACAGAGCCATCTTTAAGGTAGGGAGATGGGGTGGGGGCTGCAGCCACTTTGGGGGCCTGGATTCTTGGAAACGATCCTGGATACTGATGTGAGCAGAAGGAATTGAGGGAGATCAGCTTGAGCTCACAGAGCTCTGCAATTCCTCCCACATAGATGGCCTCAGGCTGCCATTGCAGATGTGTCCTGCACTTCTCACCACCATCTGGAGTCAAGCTGGCATCTCTAGATTTTGACACTGTCCCACTTGCAGCCAAGACTTCAAGTGCACTTTAACTTCTACTGTTATCAAGAGGCTGGTCTTGCCCACTGCTGGCCCACTCTCCAAGACCACATGGGTCAGAGATTAAGCATGTGTCTCGGAGCCGGCTAACCCAGAAGCAAGCCTTGGATCTACAGTTTGCTCAGTGACCTCAGGCCCTTTACTTAACCTCCTTTGCAAAATACAGAGAATGGTCTCCCTTCATAACAGGTCCAGCCCCAAGGAATACAATGAGCAGACAGCCTCCAGTGACAGGGGCCTGCACAGCAAGCTGATGATGACTGCTGTGGTGGGTTCCTCTATGGGCAGTCTTGGGCAGGAGCCCCTGCACCACTCACCAAGTTTTCTGAGTGGCCTGCATTCTGAGGATCTTCCTGCCTGACCCTCCTTCCTCCTCCCTCTCCTTTCGTAGGTGTCAGACCTGCATCAAGACCTGGGGCTCCCTCGGCTTACTTCTGTTTAGTTCCCCATTTTGTTCACAGGCATTACCCCCTGTAAATCTCTGGCACATCTAACGACATCTTCCCAAGGACCCAGCTGATGAATCACCCCCAGTCTCAGGGCCCCATCCTCCCCTATCAGGGATCCTTGGAAGTGCCATGTAGAATATGGCTCAGCAGCAGCCCACCCAGGGAAGCTGGGGGATTTACACACCAGTGTTTTCCCCCATTGGTTAAGGGCTACCCTGGGGGTTTCCAACTCACGGAATTTCAGGAGGAGGCAGCTCTGCACACTGGCCAGGCAAGCTCTTACTGCACTGAAAAACACAAAACAAAACCAAGCTATCATTGCCAGGGCTTGTGGTAGGAACACGTCAGCAGGAATGACTGTCCACTGCAGCTGGGGGACATCCAGCGGGGGCCCGGGGCTTGCTGATTGGCATCAGCAGCATCTGCTATAGATGATCAAACCCGCACTTCTCAAACCGCCACATATGTCCCTGGAAGGGTCCCGGTGCCCGCCACGGCTGTGAGGAAACGCTTGGAGCATACTTTTCCTTGCGGAGTTTTGTGGGGATGCGTCATTTTTATTTTTTAGCAAGTGGATATTATAGATTGGAATGCAAACTTCACAATAATTTTTTTCAGCTTTTATTTCGGATTTGGGGATACACGTGCAGATTTGTTACTTGGGTATATCGCGTGATGCTGAGGTTTAGTATACGAGCGATCTTGTCACCCAAGCAGGGAGCATAGTACCCCATAGAGAGTGTTTCAGTCTTCACCTTCCTCCTTCCCTCCCCCCCAGGGTCCCCAGAGTCTATCGTTGCCATCTGTATGTCCACGTGTACCCAACGTTTAGTTCCCACTCATAAGTGAGAACATCCAGTATTTGTGTTTGTTTTTGTTGTTCTTGTTTGAGATGGAGTCTTGCTTTGTCACCCAGGCTGGAGTGCAGTGACGTAATCTCCACTCACTGCAACCTCAGCCTCCTGGGTTCAAGTGATTCTCATATCTCAGCCTCCCTGGTAGCCGGGATTACAGGCGTCCGCCACCACACCGGGCTAATTTTTTGTATTTTTAGTGGACACAGGGTTTCACCATGTTGGCCAGGCTGCTCTTGAACTCCTGACCTCAAGTGATCTACCTGCCTTGGTCTCCCACTGTGCTGGCATTACAGTCATGAGCCACCACACCTCGCCCCGGTGTTTGGTTTTCTGTCTCTGCATTCCTTGGTATTTGCTTAGAAGGCAACCTCCAGCTGCACCTGCCTGGCTGCAGAAGACATGGTTTCATTCCTTTTTATAACTATGTAGTATTCCATGGTGTGTATTTCCTGCATTTTCTTTATCCAATCCACTGTTGATGGGCATCTGGGCTGATTCCACGTCTTCACTGTTGTAAATAGTGCTGTAGTGAACATGTGAGTGCAGGTGTGTTACTTTTTAGGGGCAGTTACCCAGTAGTAGGACTGCTGGGTGGAATGGTAGTTCTGTTTTCAGTTATTTCAGAAATCTCCAAAATGCTTTCCACAGTGGCTGAACTCATTTACATTCCCACCAACAGTGTGTAAGTGTGCCCTTCTCCCTGCAGCCTTGCCAGCATCTGTGATATTTTTTAACTTTTTAATAATAGCCACTCTGACTGGTGACTTCACAGGGCTTTAAAAGCGAAATGTGAAACTTCAGAAAAACCTCATGCTCAACATTAGCTGTTTTGCCTGCCCTCCCAGCCCCTCTTCATTTCAGCGGAAGAGATTGGCAAGAGGAGCTATGGATCATTTGAAGCCACCCAAGATATTCAAGCAAGAAAGAGCAACAACCAGATTTGCAGTGTAGGGGAGAGGCTGGCAGCAGAGAGAGGCTGGGGCCTTCAGCAGACTCCCTGGGGACCCACAGTGTGCAACACATACTCTAGGGCACAGAAGTGACAGCAGGCAAACTGAAGGCCTCATTCTGGGGACCAGGGAAGGCATGCAAAAAGCCATCCCGCAATTAGTGTTGCATTCAGACTTTGAGATCTGCTCTGAGCAGAGTGCCGTGTGGGAATATGTAGCAGGAGAGTGAGCACTAGCCCGGGCGCTAACCAGTTCCTCTAGGAAGTGACACTGGATTTGAGCTCTGAAGGGTGAGCAGGAATGACTTAGGTAAAGATAAGCAAGAAGGGCCTCCTAGACATAGGGAACAGCATATGCAAAAGCCAGGAAGACAGAAGGAGCCTGGGATGTTGGAGGAAGAGAGAGGCAAGGGCCTGAGTACAGGGAGTGGAGCTGGTCTGCAGCTAAGAGAGGTCACTGGCAGGTTTTAAGTGGGGGCACTATGTAATGAGACCTGCAATTTTGAAGAAATCAGTTTGGCCGTAGCGTGGAGAGTGACATGAGGAAGGTAGGAGCAGCAGTGGGGAAGTGGATTAGAGAGCGAATGTGTTAGTCCAGGCAGGAGAGGCTCACAGCTCAGACCAGGGGAGCAGAAGTAAATCAGTAGATACAAAAGGAAGTGGGCAGCTGCTGGCCATGTTTAAGAGTAGAACTGACAGATACTGACTGGAGGCAGCCAAATGTCTAGGCAGATAGGGGCGGGTCCCAGGTGAAACCCCACCTTCAAGCTGGAGACAGTCCTGGGTAAAACCTTGGACCAGAGAGAGAATTTCTGTTCCTGTTTGCCCGCCCTTCCCCTATTCTGAGCCCATAAAAGTCCTGGACCTACACACACAGGGACTTTCCCACCTTCAGGTAGGGGGACCACCGCCACATCCCCTCTTCGCCAAAAGCCATTTCTTCACTCAGTGAAACTCCCTGCCTTGCTCAGTCTTCAATCGGCTCATTCTTCTTGGATGCTGGACAAGATCTTGAGAACTAGTGCGCAAGCCCAGCTCTGCCCAGGCAGGCTGAGTGGGCGGGCCGTCTCCTGCAGCAGGTAGCATGGTTGAGCGAGGCCCAGGTGGGGTGTCACTGGCTGGAGGCCCCCAGCTTGCAAAGTGACCAAGAAAAAAATCCTGCATCAACAGGGCCATTGAGGGGTGGGAGAAGGGGACTCAGTAGGGTGAGGGGTGGGAGAAGGGGACTGAGTAGGGTGAGGGGTGGGAGAAGGGGACTGAGTAGGGTGAGGGGTGGGAGAAGGGGACTGAGTAAGATGAGGAATGTCAAGATCGGCATTCTCATTTGGGGCCTGAACAAAGGATAAATGATCACATTTGCTAAGAAAATACTGGAGAAAGATCGTGCTTGAAAAATAGTTGAGTTCCTTTTTTTCTGTGTTGAATGTTATCTTAGTCCATTTTCTGTTGCTTATAACAGAGTACCTGAAACTGGGTAATTTAGAAAGAAAAGGAATTCATTTTTTATGAAGGGCTGAGGAGTCCAAGGTTGAGGGGCTGCACATAGTGAGGGTCTTCTTGATGGCAGGGAGTATGCAGAGTCCTGAGGCAGCACAAGGCATCCCATGAGAACCTATTCATCCACTAACTCATTAATCTGTGAATCCGTTTATCCACAAATGGATTAATCCAGTCATGAAGGTAGGACCCTCATGGCCCAGTCATCTCTTAAAGGCCTTATCTCTCAGTTCTGCCATGTTGGGGATTATGGCTCAGCATGATTTCGGAGGGGACAGACATCCAAAGCATAGCAGATGTGAACCCTCTGTGACGCATCCAAGGAAGCTACTGGCCTAGGACAGAAGCCCAAGGAGGAGGAGGAAAGCGCAAGGGCAGACGACAAACCAGCGGAACCAGGTGTCCAGTTCATCAAAGACCAAGGGAGGAGCACTTCCAGCGTGTCAGGAGGAGTGTTGTACGCTGCCAAGATGGGGAGTGCAAGGGGGACAGTGCCCCTTAGCAAGAGCTGTTGTCAGGGTGTGGACACAGAGGCCAGTGTAGAGGAGCTGAGGGTGCACGAGGCAAGAGGATTGAGAGGAGGTGCATATGATTTGATTCCTGGAATATTGGTCATGACGTGGAGGTGAGAACCAGGGCAGCAGGTGTCTGCAGGGAAAGGGGGTGGGCAGAGATGATTCTGGAGTTTCAGATTGTGAGCTGATGTTTTAAGATGCAAGACGCTGAAGCATGTCTAAGTGCGGATGGGAAATGTCTGCTGGAGAAGAGGAAGCAGAAGATGCCAATGGCAAAGAGATTACCCCGGGCGTGAGGCCGGGGTAGGTGGGAGTGGGGACGCAGAGCCCGAGGCGGGATGAGGTGGAGAACCCCTCTCCAAGGGGTGCTCTGCTCTTCCCTGCTTTCCTGCTACCTGTTCTGCCCCCTTCTCTCTGCCTTTTGGAAAATCCTCTTTGTCTTCCACTCCCCAGATGAAGTCACACCCTCTTTGTTCTTCATACCGAACCCAACCCACACTGCTCCCTCCTCCCACTGAATGCTCGTGGTCTCCCTCAGTGGACTCATTGTTCACTCCAGGTAATCACCGGTGTGTTCTCAAAGTGCCGAAGGCCTCAGCCACCTGGTGGCTCAGTGGTCCAGGTGGCACTTCCTCCCTCTGTGGCGCCCTCAGCACCTGGCTCTGTCCTGACGGAGAGATCTACACGGGAGGCAGTGACGGAGGAGACCCCGTGGCTTCCCTGTGACATCGGGACTTCAGCCTTGAATGAACACTCAGCGAGCGACAGATGTCCCGCTGCCAAAATCCATGTTTCTCATGAGGACGAGGGCAGAACGACAGCCTCAGCCACTGGCCATTAAGGAAAGCACAAGCCAGGTGCAGGGTGCCACCAGGAGCATTGTGGGCATGGACCACACCTCACCCCTGTCCTGTGTGCAGCCTCTCATCAAACGTGTCAGACTGAGAAACTGGCACCAGTCTCAGAAGCCATTAGGAGGTGCTAAGAGCAGATGGGGCGTGAACACTACAGGACACTCATGCCCACCCTGAGCAGACGTTCATCAACTGCTCAGTAAAAAAAAAAAAAAAAAAATTGTAGGGAAGAGGATTGGCAGGTGAGAGAGAAGTAACCGGCCCGGGGCAGCTCTGAGGCATCCTGGGGGCCAGTGCCCAGGCAATGTGGACTGCAGGTGGTTCCCACCTTCAGATGGCTTGGCAATCACACCTGCCTCTGGAATTCTTGGGGAGAGTTAGCATAGTTAGAACAGTGCCTGAAATATAGCAAACGTAAGTGTTAAATACAATAATAAAACAATGCAACAGTAGCTATTATTATCCTTCCAAACAAGAGTTGCAGACAGATAAACCTGGGTTTGTCCAGTGTATTGGCTTCCCAGAGTTACCCTCGAACAAGTCATTTAAACTCGACTGTTTTAATCTGAGAAATGAAGACACTCTTACTTCCAGGGCAGGGTTGTTGGAGAGATAACAGAAGATACTACGGTAGAGTTGACAGAGCCCCTAGGACATCACGGGGGAGCAGGAGCGGCCTCTCCTGGGGAAGACGGGTCTTCAGCAAACACACACTTTCACTGCAGGAATCCTCCCATAGACACGGTGACGGCTGATTTTATGTTGACTTGCCTTGATCACGGTGTCCAGATATCCAGATATTGGTCTGGATGTTTCTGTGATTGTGTTTTTTGGATGAGATAAACGTTAGATCAGCAGTTTTAGTGAAGTAGGTTGGTCTCTGTAATGCAGGTAGGCCTCATCCAAGCAGCTGAAGACAATGAAGGCCTGAAGAGAATGAAGGACTCAGCTCCCCCAGCAGGAAGAAAGTCTCCAGCAGACAGCCTCAGAGGGAAGAGCAGCACTGGCTTCCTCCCGGCTCTGTGGCCTCCCAGCCCGCCCTGCAGACTTTGGATTAGCCAGCCTCCACAATTCCTCAGGCTCATTCTCTCTATATACACACACCACATTGGTTCTGTTTCTCCGGAGGGCCTTGACTGCCATGGATATAAAGCTCCCTCTGATTGTCAGAAGGATGCAAAATGAGGCAGCCTAGCCACCCAGTGGGCCCAGTGGTCAAGGGGGGAAATGAGGTGGCCGCTAGTCAGTGCCGGGGCCATTTCTAGATGGTGCCTTTTTGTCTGTTTGTTTGTGTTTGTTTTGAGACGGAGTCTCTCTCTGTCGCCCAGGCTGGAGTGCTGTGGTGTGATCTCGGCTCACTGCAACCTCAATGGTGCTTTTTTCGGATCATAGCTCAGGCTTACGTGCTGACCCCAGTGGCCTATCTTTAAGCACTGCGGCTCCAGGAAAGAAAGGCCTGGAGAGACCTAGACCAAGGTCTCAGCGGGGAGGGAGAGAATTTGCTCTTTGCAAAATGTATGGAGTCCTTGTTATTTACCAGATATCATGTTAGGGACCAGGGATAAAAACAACAGTGAATTTCAGTGAATCTAAAACAATCCATTGTAAGACAGAGCATTATTCTATCTCCCAAGACAGGAAAAAAACATCTTTAGATTTCATAGATATCAAATGGGAAAGCAATATATTGTGGAATAAACAAAATATGCTAATGGTAACAATGAGATATCTAGGACATACTATGTACAGGTGCTGTTCTTAGCATTTCACATATACCATTTTACACAGTGAATCTGTGAGATGGAAGCCATTGTCGTTCTATTTTATAGACAGGTACACTGAGACTCAGGCAGGCCAGTTGTCCTGCCCATGTACACACAGCTCCTAAGTGGTAGAGCCAGGATTTGAACCCAGACCCCGCAGCCTGGCTCCATGCTCTCTGCAGCTTTGCAGAAACTAAAGTTGGAATGGAAGACCGCTCATTCCAATTTGTCCCATTGTCCAGCATCCCACGGCCCATTCCAGAAAGTTCAGTGGGTGTCAATGAGCTTGGCTGTGGTGACCACTCTTACGTGTACCATTACCTTTTATTTTAATTTGAGAAATTAAATAAAATATATCCACAGTAGTTTACAACTCTACCATGATGTCATTTTGTCAGATGGCAAATTTCAGGAGAGGCTCAAACTCCAAAAACCCTGTCGTTACCTGAATTTAACGAGAGGACGTCAAATCACTTAATTCTATCACAGCCCACACCCATGAATTCACTAAGTAATTATCACACACCTGTCAGGCACCAGACAGTTGCTGAGGACCAAGATCCAGACGAAACTGATGGAGCTTCTCTTCCCCTGCACCTTCCGTAAACTTGGAGACACAAAGCTAAAAGACCGAAACCTGAGAGAGAATGGGAGCAGCCTGTGAGGCCCTGCCCTGCAGGCCGTCTCTTGGATGGTTTATGCTTCTCTGGCAGGTTTTCCCCTAGGTATTCATGGCATCGGGGGGCATTTCACCTCAGCAAAGTGATGACGCTGCCACTCAGGTTCCCATGGAAACCAAACTGGGACAGGAGGAACAAAAGGCTCCTCAAGGTCAGTGGTGCAAAGGACATTAGAGACAAAGACAGAGACAGCAAATCCGCCCAAAGAACAGACAAAAACCGGCGCTTCCTCCCTCCCTCCCATCACCACAGCTCGGGGCTTTGTCACTCCAGCACACCTGCGCCCTGCACTTCAGACGCTGCGTGATTTTTGAGCTTCTGGGGAGAGAAGCCTGGGCCTCCAGGGAGGTGCAGATGCTCCTGGCTCCTGGCAGACTCCTGGGCCAGGCCCAGCCTGTGTCTGTTTCCGGAGCCACGCGCTGCCTGTGCTGGGATGAATGCATGGCCGCTGCGTCCCTCCCCCTCCTCAGAGCCCACAAGCTTCCGAGTGCGTCATCTTCATGATTGGCCACGGGAAATGGCTTCTTGGAGTAAGTGACTGCTGCTCTGAGGCCCATCTGGACAAAAGCAGGATCCGGGATGGACACAGAAGAGCAGACCCGGAGCCCTGCGCCCCAGCCTCCCCTCCCCATGCGTTCCACATGTGTCCTCTGTTCAGCCTCTCCATTTAACTCTCCTTTCTGAACGCCCAGCCAGGTACCGCCTTCCTTCCAAAAGCCTTGTTTCTCAGAAAACCTTTTGCCTTCTAGAAACCCAGGATTCCGAGGAGGAAGAGGACTGGCCTTTCTCTTGGGACTATTGATCAGGGCTGTCAGTTCCCAGCTCCATCCAGTGCCCTGAGCTGGGGACACAGATGCTGTCACTGGGTCCTGGCGAGTCTGAAAACTTGGGATGTCAGCACCACGGTGAGAGCAGAGTCTGCGCAGGGCCACTGCAGGCAAAAGACTGTCTCGCTTTTCACTGCGGGGGCTTCCCCAGTCCGGTGTGTGTGTCTGAGCCCTGCCGTTGGGAGGCATCATCGAGAGGCTCTGGTCTCCCCTGCCCAGGCCCTGCCTCCTGGCCCCACTGCCGGAAGCTTGAGCAGATCTGAAGCTCGCCTTAGAGGAAGACCCCATCCAGGGCAGACCCTGAATGCAGAAAGCAGAGAACTTGGCTTCTCCTCATTTGTTGTTAGGGCCAGTGCCTCAGGGACTAAACACAAACAAAACAGGCTAAAAGCGGAAGCAGTGGTGGCAGCGCTGGGCCACAACGATGATTTCTGTTGTGAGGGTTTCGGTCGTGCTTGGATCTGGGAGCAGGAGGCCGATGCACCCAGAGACCCTAGGGCAGGGCTGTAACCACTGTAACCACACATCTTAGGAGACGCTTTGGGAAGCTCAAACTGATGCCATTTGTGCTGAATTTTGGGGAAAGGGGGTGGGATGATGGACTTGGGAGCACTGTCGTTAACTGGTCATTGATTAGATATTAACTAGTCATTAACTAGACTTTCGGGAAAGCAACGAGGCCTCTGTGTTCACAGTTGGAAGGCATGGGCTACCCTGATTGGGGGTGCTCCAGCTGTATTCATGATTCACATTCATTCATTACATGCCCGATCTCTGTCTCAGGGGCCCAGCCTCCTGTTAGTAAGCTCTCAGATTCAGGGAAAGGCGTCTCAGAGAACTCCACGTCTGTGTGGAGTCAGATGGATCAGAGCAGAACACAGAGCTGCCTTCTCTGTCCCACTCTGTCTCCCACTCGCCTGCTCAGAGGTTCCCGGCCGGCTCCCTGTCTCCCTCTCTGCCCTCCTGGGTATCACGGGCCCTCAACTCAGGGAAGCTGGTGCCCTCACTTGTCTCCCATAGTCCTCTGTCGTCTGGGCTCCTGTGGCCCCTCTCAGCTTTCAGGACTGTCCAGTCTTCCGCATCCCTGTTCTTTCTCCCGCAAGTCCCCGGTGGCCCAGGCTCTAGGGGGGAGTTGCATTCTGAGCTACTGCCCACATGGCTTCCCCAGGGCGGCGGGAGCTCAGGTACGGAAGTCCCCACCCTTGGCAGCCTGAGGCTCAGAGACCATGACCTCCAGGGGCAGCCCACAGCAGCACCCCCTGCATCACCCACAGAATAGAGGGAGACAGAGGCTCTCCACACAAAGGCACTGAGAACAAAGAATACCCCAAAAGCCACCGAGGTCTCTGGGCAGCAGAGAGTGGGAGCGCTCGTCACAGGCCAGAAGCCCGCCCGGCAAGTAGCATCAGACACCTCAGGTTAAAAAGAAAGTAGAGATTGCCACCTCCCACCCTCCCCATTCTAGTCAATTTGGGCCAGTTTGGTGCACGCTAGCCACGTGCGGTGACCATGCTAAGTACTGTGCGTGTACTATTTCTCGGAATACTTCCTGCAACCTTATGAAGTTCTCGCCCAATTTAACCAGCAGTAATGAAACTCAGAAGGCATTTACCCAATGCTGCACATCAGGAAAATGTAAAAGAACGAACAGGGCTTCAATACCAGGATTGAGCCCAAAGGTCACGTTCTTTCCCCACGGTTCCCTTCCCCATCTGGTTCTGGGGAACGACACTCTGCACGCAGCCCCCAGGAGACCACAGGCCCTGGGCTCCCAAAACTCAGTGGCAGTGCAAAGCCACCCTCAGAAGAGCTGCCCAGGACAAGTGCTCCCGCGGCCCATTGCTCACTCCCCGCAGAGGCAGGGGCAGCTGCCTGCTGCCCCAGCTGGACATAGAAGGTCACCATGTGGCCTGCCGGGGTGTGCAGGATAGACGGCAGGAGGTGAACAGTTTGAGCTGGTGCCTTCACCTGCCTCTTCCAGCCACAGAAAACAGGATCCTCCAGGGTTCACGCCTATGCGTCTGGATCAATGCTGGGCATTTTGTCGGGTGACAAGCCAGCAGCCATGCAGGGCATGTACCTGTAGATGATGCACTGCCTTAGTGTCCAGACAGAACAAAAGGGAGCCCCTTTCCAGCCCGAAACTGTCGGATTCTCTAAGAGGTCCTGCTACAACCCATCTCAACGCAAGAGGGACTGCGGCTCTTCTGGAAACACGATGCCTCGGGGCCATGAAATGACAGCTGCTTATTTTGAAGAACTGGGCTGTTCCCATGTAAAGCTGGCTGCAATGGATGATGTTTCTGACTCATACTCTGGCTTTAAAATCAAAGTTTTTGTTAGAAACCAGCTTTGTTTTCCTTCTATTTCCTGTTTGAAAAGTGAAGCATTAACACGAAGGAGGGCCCCAGCTGAGTTCATGCTGGGACTCAGGCTGCAAATGGCCAGTGGTCCCGGGATATCCAGGGAGCCATTCAGAGGGGACACTTCCAGCTACCATGCAAATTCATCATGCACCCATCCCCCCTTGCTGCAGCCCTGGCCTTAGAACCCTCAACACACGGCCCTGGGCAGCTACCCTCAAACACCTGGACGCCAAGCATGAGAGGGAACCCACTTACCTTCCCTGGTCTATTATCACAAAGTACCTTAGAGCCTCCTGCACAGGAACCCACTCCTTAGAGGGCACGAGGGGCTAAGTTTTGTTTGAGACCAGCTGGCATTGGAAGGGAGAAATGAAAGTTATCCCCTGTCCCTGCTTCCAGGCCAGGGCAGAGCAAGCTGCTTTCGGCCCTGTCTCTGAGGCAGACGTTAGCACACTTGTCTCAGGCAGAAGCAGCCTTAGATGGCGTTACAGTTTGAATGTGGTCCCCCGCAAAATCCAGGTGTTGCCAATGTGATAGCATTAACAGGTGGGGCCTTTAAGAGGGGATTAGGCCATGGTTGGAATCAGGGGTCCTGATGCAGGGGCTGTGTGGAGGGAGTACATTCACTTGTTGCCCTTCCACCTTCAGCCATGTGAGGACGCAGTAGCAAGGCGCCATCGTGAAAGCACAGACTGGAGCCATCACCAGGCACGGAACCTGCTGGCACCTGGCTCCAGAACTGCGGGTAGATACGTTTCTGTCCTTTATGAATCGCCCAGTCTCCGGGGTTGTGTGAGAGCAGCACGAAATGGACTGGGGCAGCTGGAATGTGAGTTTGCATCAGCCCCCACCCACACACTCAGGGCGTGCCGCGGCGGCCATGCTGGGTGCCTTTCTGCAGGTGCCCAGGCACCAGGAGCACTGGCCCAGTCTCAAGGGGCGTTCATGTCAGGGAGGTGCCCTGGCGAGTGTCAGCTTCAGCGCTACCAGCATCAGGAACTTCATCCCAACAAGTCTGGGCAGGAGAAGAGGCGGTGAGATCACGTCCTACCCGTCCAGAGACCCCCAGACTTTGGAGTAGAAATCTGAAGGACCTGAGGCTCCTGAAGTGAGAGGGGACAGAGCTAGGAGAAGGGAGGGCAGCCAGGAGGGCAGGGACGCAGGGGGCGGGATGGGGAGAGCCAGGCTGGCATTAGCAAGAGCGTCTTCATGTCCTTTTGGCCCAAGGGGACCATGTTCTCTGAGGAAATGGGACTTGCTCCAGGGCAGAGGAAGAGCTTGGCATCCGCTGTTCCCTCTCCCGAACAGCTCCTGGGGAAAGTCCACCACCATCTTCTTGCCCCGCTCTGTGCCTTCATACAAGCGATTCTCTCCACCTGCGACGCCGTTCCTCTCCCTCCTGTGGCCAGTGTCCGTGGGTTCTCTGAGAAGGAATAGGAAGTATTTTAAGGTAGACCTCCTTAACCTCCTCCCAGCTGGGTGGATTCCTCCCTCTGGGCCCTCACACATCTCAGTTCCCAAACGACCATTCACATGATAGTCTAAATTAGTGGATCCTTGGTGTGTGGTGTGTGCAGTTATAATGGGTTGCCTCAGCCTCCAACGCACCCTTCATTGCCTTCCTCTGTGATAACGCCCCTGGGCCCTGTACCCATTTCTCTCTTGCCAGCTGGCATGACGTTTAGCCTTGTGCAGAGGCAGGGGCCTCTCCCCGGTTCTGACACTTCTCTCTTTGCTGGTTTCTGGCTGCTGGGGGGACACGAGGGATACTCGGCACTGTTCTCCCTTCAGCAAATGTTGTTGCCAGTCCCATCCCAGGTTCCTGGCCTGCTGCTCCCTGAGGAGGGTTTGCCAGTGCCAGCCCATGCTCCCCTGTACCCAGCCTTGGTCTGCTGGGACCCAGTGGAAAGCCCACAGCTGCCGCCCCCACCCGCCTTCCCCTGCTTGCCAGCCACAGTCACCAGCTGTGGACCTGCGCGGCTGTGCTCCAGAGGCAGAGCTGGGTGGAGGAGGGGCCCCGCGCACAGATGAGACTATGAAGACGCCCTCTAGAGGCTGCGGCAAACACAGGTGCCCTGCCCCATATCCTGCCCGCAGTCACAGCCCTTCCCACATGGAGGGTACTGTCATCAATCTTTTTGGGGGCTGTGGACACTCTGCATCCCCATACCTGTGGCAGTCCTAGTGCATGGTAAGCTCTCAGTAAGTGTGGCGAGTCACTGCTGAGAGAACTAACAAATAAACCTCCCACCACCAACCACAGGTAGCTGGGGCAGAACCAGGGAACTGCTCAAAGGAGGCTGGTGACCCCTGCCGTGACATGGCCGCTGTGCCCAGGACCCAGGCTCCCACAACTCGAGTCCTTCCTCTGTCCCAGATCCATTCAAAGTGAAGTGGCCTCCAGACAGGCTTCCCTAGGGGCCCTGGTCACTGTCCATGAGGCCACCATTCCCCTGCTCACCATGGGACGTGAGAAAGGGCCTGGCCCGTGGACCAGGGCTGACGTAGGTCTGAGCCCCAGCTCAGTGGTCTGCTAGCTGTGTGAGCTTGCGCAGTAGCTCTTCAAGTGTGGCTCTGGACGCGTGGCATCAGCATCAGCGTCACCCGGGAACCTGTTAGAGATGCACATTTTGGGCCCCAACCTCCTTCGACCAAGTCAGAAATTCTGCAGTCTATGTTTTCATAAGTCCTCCAGGTGACTCTGATGCACTCTCAGCGCTGAGAACCATCGAGAGAGAGCCGTTTAGCTGAACTCCTCCAGGCCTCGCCTGCGCACAGTCACAGCCGTACCTTCTGCACAGTCGCTGAGATGTGTGTGAAACAGCAGGCACACAGCAGAGTGAATTGCAGTGGTCGGAGCATACCTGAAGCACCAGGGCTGGCCCCCTCCCTCCCCTCTCCTCCCCGGCCTCCTAGGAGTCGGAGGGCCCGTGGAAATGGTCTCCTCCTGCTTTGACTGGGCGCAGGTCTGAGCAGAGGCCTTCCGAGTGAGCTGAGCAGGTGAGCCCGAGCATGGCCTGTCAGGAGCAAACCCATAGGCTGGGGAGCCGTCCCTGGAGATGCCCCTGGGCTCCTTGAGGGGAATGGCTGAGTCCCTGCCTGTCCTTGGCAGGCCCGCAGTGGTGGGGTGGCTCAGGCGGGTGCCCTGTTCACAACCAGCGCTGCTGGGGATGAAGGCAACGGGTGGGTGAGCAGGGACAGCATGAGCCATGTGGCTGGGAGCTGGGCCAGCTCGCTCTGTGTCATGTTGTTTCCATGTGTGCAGCAGAAACTGGCGTCTCTCCACAACGCTGATTTTAGTCTTTCCCACCTTTTCTTGCTCAGCTTAAGATAGGCCTGTCTTCAGGGACAAGGTGGCATTATATCAAGCCAGAGTGTGAGGGCGCAGGGAGACCCGCGAGGCAGGGCCCCCCGAAGTCCTGGCGGTTTCTACCCAGCCTCTCGAAATTGACTTGAAGGTGTTTACCTGGCACATTGTTTTTTCCGACTTCCTACACTCTGCTACCCACTCTGGCCTTCCTCAAGGCGGGCATGCTCATCAGCTGACTTCATCTCTCCCTAATGGCAAGGCCTGACCTAGAAACGCAAGTCAGATCCTGGCTCAAACGAGGCTGGGAAAGACGATGCCTGTAAGACCGACAAAGACAGTGCAAGGTGAGGTGACCGCCGCTGTGTCTGGGTGCAGGGCTCCCTTGTCCAGCTGACCCTAAGTCTGCATCAGCTCAAATGTAGTTCCCGGTTCCCCAGTGAGATTCCCACTCCCGTCTGGAGGGGAGACGTGCCTGCCTTTTGAATGAAGCGTTGCCCACTAGAGATAGTATCACAGGCAGAATTGTCATTTTTAGCCTTTTTACATGTTGCCAACTTTCAGACATACTATTCCTTTTTATCCCTCCAAATTCCTCGAAAGCTGCTTCTATTTTGGAGCTCTTTATTCCCAGTGCTGGGTAATTTCTCCCTGGCTGTCTTTATTGTAGAGACTAGAAACCTGATGTGATGAACCCTCACTGAGTAGAAATCCTGGGGGGCTCGTAGTTAACCGGATAAGACATCTCACCCTGAGAAACGGTCCCGATTTCCTTTTAAAAATTCATTGTCTCTCTGAGATACAGACATATTTCCTCATCTCATTCCAGAATCAAAAGTTCTAATTTTGCAAAGAATAATTTTTGTCCAAATATGTTTTCTTCCTGGTGTTCCAGAGAATCTGGGATAGCAAGAGGTGCGGAGCTTTGGTCTTTGGATGGCTCTGATTCCATCATTCCTCCAGCAACCAGGGAACAATCATTGCTGGGCAGGGAATCCCTGCTTCCTCCCTGGGCTTCCAGCCGTCTCCCAGCAATCCTTTTTTTTTTTTTTTTTTGATAGAGTCTTCCTCTGTCACCCAAGCTGGAGTGCCATCTCAGGGCACCACAACCTCCACCTCGTGGGTTCAAGCAATTCTCCTGCCTCAGCCTCTGGAGTAGCTGGGATTATAGGTGCCTGCACCATGCCCGGCTAACTTTTGTATTTTTTAGTAGAGATGGGGTTTCACCATGTTGGCCAGGCTGGTCTCGAACTCCTGACCTCAAGTGATCTGCCCACCTCAGCATCCCAAAGAGCTGGGATTACTGGCATGAGCTACTGCACCTGGCCCCCAACACTCCTTCTTAAGACCCATTTGAAAATAATGACAAAAACCACAATTACTTTTGCACCAAGTTTAACCACAATTTACCAGTGTGCAGTTACTGTGGCCTGAATATTGTCATCCATGCACGGCACTTCTCTTAAAATTTGCTCCCATGCAATCAGAACACTTCTATAGAACCTGTCTCCTTAGATAGACTTGACCATCCTTCTCTGCTCTCGCATCTACTGCTTGGGGCGAGGGCAAGGTCTCCCCCTGGGGATGGGCCGGACAGGCTCACCCGCTGGACAAATGGATTCCGGTCAGCTTCGTAGACTTGGCCTATTCCCACCCCTTGACACAGTGGGAAAGTCTTGCTTCCTGCCAGTTCTCCTCTGCTAAACCATACTCAGCATTTCCGTTTTTATAAGAGAACCACGAATTCCAGGGTACTGGGCATAGTCTGAGCTACTAACAATGGGTTACTTTTCTTACTTTTGTCTGTGACAGCTTGAGGGCAGAGCTCCTCCAATTAGACCCTCAAAGCAACGATGAATGAACAGCAGGCCAAGATTCCGGCATTCCCAGGCCTGGCCTAATGTCACCCTTGTCCTTGACCCTGCGTGCTGGACTTTAGGACATGAAGAGGTTAGACACGGATGAGGTTATAGAGGTGTATGCACGCCAGAAGATGGTGAGCATCTGGGTCACATTGAGGGGCTGGAGCATCCTGCAGTGCTGTGCATCTTAGAACGAGCCCACAGCCCACCTGCCCAAGAGCAGTCTGAGTTTAAATGTGTTGGTTCTTGAACCCCATTCTGGGTCTGCTGAATCAGAATCTTTCTGAGCGGGGCCCAGGAATTTCCATTCTAGGAGGTTCTTGTGCATATTTCATTGATTGATATGTTAATTGAAGAATCTAAGCCAAGGGATGGCATCATCAGATTGGCCACTTCAGTCATGTTTTGTGGGACGGATTTTAAAAACTGGAGTCCAGACAAACAATTGCTGTAGTGCTGCAGGTGGCAGACCTTGACAAGCTGATCTCAATCGTCAGTGGCGGGGTAGAGTGAGACAAGGAGGCCAGGGCAAGTCTCTGGCTTGAGTGACCAAGTAGATAGAGGATAATTAGGGGATTCAGAAACAGGGGCTGAGTTGAGAGGCCTGTGGGATCTCCAGACGGGAGCAGTCCAGCAGAAAGTAGGATCCACAGGCCTGGATCTTAGGAGAAAGTTGCGAGCAAAGGATCCAAATAGGTGGGAAAGGAAATCCTTGGGGTAGATGCAATTTCTCAGGATGAAAGTGAGAGCGAAGAAAAGGCACTGAAGCCAAAAGCTTCAAGAACACCAACATGAAAGGGCTAGGCAGAAGGGAAGTTGCCCAGTGCGTGGGAGCTTATGTGGGAAAGCATGTTTTTGTGTGTCTGCTTCAGATACATTTATATTTCAACAGGACAGAACGTTTTGGTGGGTAGTAATCAGTCCATGGAGCTCCATTCAAGTATTGTCCCAGGGCCGGCCGTGGTGGCTCACGCCTGTAATCCCAGCACTTTGGGAGTCCAAGGCAGGTGGTTCACATGAGGTCAGGAGTTCAAGATCAGCCTGGCCAACCTGGCGAAACCGTGTCTCTACAAAAAATACAAAAAAGATAGCCAGGCATGGTGGTGCACGCCTGTAGTCCCAGCTACTCGGGAGGCTGAGTCAGGAGAATCACTTAAACCCAGGAGACGGAGGTTGCAGTGAGCAGAGATTGTGTCTGTGCACTCTAGCCTGGGCGACACAGCGATAATCCATCTAAAAAAAAAAGTATTATCC